CTTGCTCGTTAAACAGGGGGTCCCAAGTTTAATCCCTAGATTTTCCGGTGTGGTTTTCTCTTGTCAGAAGTGAAGAACGAGGGGCCTGGCAAGAAACAGGGTCTATTATAGTCCGAAAAAGAACCGTAAAAGAACCCCTGACAGTTGGAATTCGAAATATGTGTGTGCTTGGCAAAATTTCATGCTCATGCTTTGTTCGTTGTTAAAAGTAGGCCTACATAGACTAATGATTTTGATTTAGCAACCCAATATCAACACATTAAATGAATTAAATATTATATTGGAGATAGGGGACTGTGATTTTATTACCAAATACAGGATTGGGAATGAATGGTCAGTTCAACAAAAATATAAACCAATTTCTTCGTGTGGAATCTGAATTTTAAATGATGAAACTAAGGTGTTAACACGAAAGATAGAATTGTGTGCAGCAGTTAGTGGGGTGGTGTAGAGAACCCCGGGAAGCAAGCGGTCTTGATTCAATGACAGTAGATCTTATCGTCTTTCTCGGACAAAAACGGAAGCGAACCCTAGACCGACCGGTTTTACGAGCCAGCGTCTTACTGATCGAGCCACCGCAACTTACTCGACGAAATCTGCGAAGAAGGTCTTAGGCCCGCTTTCCGTGTACACGTTTCCGCCTTCCGCACGCGATTTTTTGTATCTCCATGTGTACAGAAAAATCGCTGAAAAGTTTGGGGAATCCCATGTAAATGACGTCATAAGTGCGGATTTCTCTTAACAGCATGGAACCCGACATGGCTTACGTTCAGTAGCCACATTTTATAGTTGAAGAGAACCCGTGATTGTGCGAGAGAAAACGCCATCGACAAAGTCGCTCATAGAGCAACTTTTTTTCCGCATTAGACCGACTTTTTCGCCGGCTGAACCGAGTACATGGAATGTGAGCCTTATGTTGAAATGTGTTATGATGCAACGGTCATCACGATCGACAAAAGTAATTGGTAAAATACTTCATCCGATTATCGTCTTAAATTTATGACTGGGTGTTAAGATGGATAGCATTGCAAAATATGTTAGTGAAAGTGAAAGGGGATTATATCACCATCTCCCGGAAGATAGATATGACTCATTGTGAACAATATCATGCGCGAAACAATTGTCTTGCGCGTAGGTAGGGGTCTTTAGCAGCGGAAGGACCCGGAGAAAACTCACGAGGTTGGACATGCGACCCTACTCCTTGTCACGTACAACCGGGGAATCGAAACCACGCCAGTTGACTCAATGACAGACCTTATGATACAGCGCACACGTGCTATAACCATTCGGCCATCCCCCCCCCCCCCTAAAAAATACGTACGAAAGTTAAACTTCTGTATCTCTCCAATGCATGTGCCGATTTGTCTCTTATTTGAACACGATCTTATTTTTACATCCATGTCCTGTATAGTCAAATCATACCAAATACATAGAGGATATTTGTCGTTTTAGAGTGAATAACATATTTTATTTCATCGAGAAGCAAGAAAACTTATATTTTCACGAATGCTACGTGAAAATATAAACGTTTTCTTGCTTGGAGATGAAATAAAATATGTTATTCACGACAAAACGACAAATTTTCTATTTATTTTATGATTTTACAATCATTTTAGGTAAAAACAACATGGACTATTGCTAGCCAGTGGAATAACACTTTTATCTCACTGATAAAACGCGGTATTCCACTACTGATCATAAAATAAAAAATATTTTTTGACAAACGACCATCACCGCAAAAGTGCTCGTCTCGTCTTTCCCAAAATACCTGTTGATATTGTTATCTTGTTGTGAAAATATGGAATCATAATATCTTATATTAAAGACATTAAAATCAGTACACAATTCGTGTATTGTGCGATGAGAAAGTTCATTTACTTTACTTGTGTTGATGCCTATAAGTGGTAGATATTGTTAAACATACATTATGCAAGAGTTAAATATGTCTATTGCAGGTCTTTCTTTAGGCCTGAAATGTTATCTAAATTATTAATTAGACATTAATTAACTTATCCAGACCATAATCAACTCTAGATAGCCTGCGATCTTAAGTGGATTTTGAGCCGATTTACTGCATAACTTTCCTTCTCGATTAAACGATTAAATGGATAATCGAGACTATGCTGTTTATCGTACGGACTTTAGTAATGATGACCGAGGCTAGCCAGAAATTTCATTCGCTTAGTTCTTGGTTCATAGTGGATCAATTTGAATGAAATTTTCAGCAAATTGCCTTTACGTTATCTAGTTTTTTTATTATTATAGTGAGAACTGCCAACTCGTTATCGAATCTCCCATAATGTATCTTTAATGTATATTGTTAATATTATCTTAATATCTGAATTTAAGATGTGGGCACCTTGTGTAGGATCTTTAATCAATATATATAAAGAAGTATCATCTGAGAATAATTTTATATTTGACTGTATAATGTTAGTTCATTATTCTCTTTATGACCAGGACAAGGCAAAGGGTGATTTCTGTCATTCAATTTATACTGGTTACAACATGTATTAAATGCGGCTGCCTTGTCACGTGGTGTAAATGCTATGTTGTTATTGTTAGTATTGAGAGGTGGGATAATGCGTTGTGATGCCCCATTTTATTTTACAAACAAATTGACCAGTTTCCATCAGGATTTAGAGTCGAAATTTAAATCGACGTTTACGTTTTGATCCATTTTTATTTTCGTAAAAGTTACGTTTACAATTTCTTATTAAACAAGTATAATCATTTCTTATTTTCCGAAATACATTCAAATGTTCTGATGAATCGGACTTTTTTGCTTTTCTATTAACTTTGTTCTTCAATTTACTCAATTTTCTAATTTCATTATTCATCCAGGGTTTATCTCGAGGTAATAGTCACATTCTTAATAGAAATACCAAAAATAGATACAATACGTAACTGGATGATTAAATGAATGTGCAACCGATACGGTTTGAATGTAATCCCATATTATGCTGTGCATAATAGTCAAGTCAAATTGCAACACCTTAAAAGAATAAAAACATTAAGCGTTTGATATTTGAAAGAAATCTCCTCGCACGGAACAGCATTTACTTTACTGCATTTAAAAGATTTAAAACTGATGTAAAGGATAAAGGACGCCAAACCTCGTTACCGCGCTCCGCTCATACATTTTGCCCGGACAGCGGCACTACGGCCTACCCTTATATCGAATTCCAACTGTCAAGGGATCTTTTACGTGCACACCAATGTGTACATGGGACCTCGGTTTTTCGTCTCATTCGAACGACTAGACAGCTGTCCTTGTCAGGCCTTCCGTCCTGCATCACTGACAATATCTCGAAAATTCATTCGCCATAAGAATCGGCTTAATTTAAGGGTTTGATTAGTGTGTAGCCCGCATAGCCCGAAAAGAAGTTGTCAAAAGGCAACTTTCAAAATCTTTGACTTAGAGGCCTTACGTATTCTACCTAAGGAAATGTTGTTATTTTGTCTGGCATATGCCAGTAATATAGTCTAGAAAAGCATTATAGTATTGGATTTTTTTTTTAAGATTGTCAATGGGATTAATTTTCGTTTGATTTTTCCCCTCTCATCAAATTATTTTTAAAAAAATACTTTAGTAATTTTTCCCGCGAAGCTTACTACCAACGTCCCTGTTGAAGCTTTGGATTTTATTTAATTACAGTTATAAAGTCTTAATATGTTTCTTCTCTCTCTTCATTCCCATAATAACCATTAACGGCTATTAATGTAATGAAAATATGAAAACACTTTAAGTTATAGAGGATTAGTTATTTCTATTATTGTTTTGAGGTAATATGATGGTAATACAAGGAGGAAGGGGTTGTCGTATCGTGACTCGCTGATTTGTCTAAGCTTATCAACATAAGAAGGGCACCTGCTATGATATTTAAATACTTGTTTAAGTAAGATGTGTTAGGGGTATTGTTTGTGCTGTCAGTCAAAAGGGAGATTTCCAACTGATATTATAATGATATTCTCCGGAACAGAGTGGCATCATCTGGTAAAACAGAATTACAGACTGACGATTCTTGCTTTCTAACCAGAACAAAGTGGTCTCATCTGGTAAAATAAGTGAATTACACATAGTTGGTTCTTCTGTTCTTTTTTTTACGAAAGACTGAAATTTAGCTGCTTAAGTTATTTAAAAGTTAATGTGAAATTCTTAAGCTAAAAGCCTTTTAATGATAATTAAACCTTACAGTAGTATTGAGATGAAATGCCAAGGAGCTCTTTTACAACCATCTTGGAATTTAATGCATCTATTTGTTAAAATAATGATTTAGCAAACAAAAATCATTAAGCAGGGTATGCGAGGGCAGTCAATTATTTTTTAAATCCAAATTTGATAGTAAATAATTACTTACCGGCTGTGAGACGGTTTTCGTTTGTTTGCGGTCTTGCTATTGTTATGTGCTTCTTTTAGGTTTTTTTGTTGGGTGTTATTTTGGGGGATTGGGGGCGGGATGGGTGTTTTTTTGTTGGGTTTTTCTTTTTGTTTTTTTTATGAGAAGAGTGGGATACTGCGTTATTAATAAATGTTCTTTTCAAGGATGATTGTTTGTGCATCTTGTAGGTATTGCACTTCGTGGGTGTCGGAGGGGAGGGGGTGGTCAGTGGATTTTTTTCTTTCATTTAATTTGATTTTGTTGTTGTAAATAATCTGCGCTATCATTTACATCTGTAAGCCTACGTTGATATGTTTCGATTATTAGGTGAAAGTTGGTTATGAAACAATATGCTTCGAAAATCCTAGCCAAAATTATCTTTATTTAAATTTTAATCGTAGGCCTATAATAAGAAACCGAAAAACTGAACAAAATAATGCTGGAACTACGCGTCGTATTGTTCGAAGTTAGCGTCGTATTGTTCTAGACTAACAGATAAAGGAAGCTCTACTTTTACTTGATAAAAACCATTTATGACGCATTTTGATTAGTTAGAAGGCAAGATTCTATCCAATCAATGTAGAGTATCAACGTTGGGTTATAAATAGAATTAACATGGCCGATAAATGACGATCAAAACAATTTCGCGGAAATAATTTAATAATATTCTATAGTATTTTATAGTTTGATGGTTTAAAAGTTAACTAAAATGAAGGGCAGGTTTAGTACAGTTGATATAGCTGCTATTGTGAAAGAATGGAAAAGGTAACCTTTATTATTTGCTACATTCTTCAACGAAAATATCGAAACGTGTTCGTAGATCTTGATGTCAACACACTGTTTACACAGTCATGAGTAAATGGCAATTGTTGACCAGAAATTATGTAATCTTCAATGTAAGAATAACCAGTCGTTGTTGTGAAGAACAATGTAGTTTTTCCTCAGATAAAGATGCATATAAAGAGCTGTCAAAAAAAAGATAATAAAAAAATGAATATTTTCAAAATTTAATTCAAATTACTTTATTCTGAGCAAAAGTATGAGCGTTTTCAAGTTTGACAAGATCTAGCGTAGATTGTTCACTATCATAGCAATGGTACTTGACATTCAAGACTTAGTCTTGATTATCACTTTTATCGTTAAATTTTAAAATCACGCAGGTGCTCTAATCCAAGTGAATTTATCTAGAGAGTTGATTATAGGTTTGACATGTAAATAAATTTCTAAATAATAGTTTATATAATATAAATTTGAAGCCAAAATAAAGACCTGAAATATGCAGATTTAGCTTTTACATAACACAACTTTATAATGCTGTAATTACATGTATGCACAAAACTTACATGTATGCCAGATAGAAATATATACATGTATCACCCTACCAAATCTTGAGACTTGGTTTGTATTTAGGATGGGTGGGAGTGCAGACAGTTGACAATATATATAGTGATGCCTTTTGTTGTATTTCAGGTTTATTGGTATGAGAGTTGTAAATGTATATGATATAGATAATAAAACATACCTTATCAGATTAAACAGGTAGGTTTATTGTTAAACAACAGGAGAGAGTGAGGGGCGAGTCTATCTAATGCATGCACTTTAGATCATAAGGTCTATTATTGAGTCAAGTGGCATGGTTAATTGAGCCCAAGCTTGTATGAGACAAGGAGTAGGGTCATCTATCCAACTGTCTGGGTTTTCTCCAGTTTCCTCCTGCTGCTAAAGAGAGAGAGAGAGAGAGAAATGGGGTTTAACGTCCACTCGACACAAACTAGGTCATTTCGGGACTAACATATGGTTTAATTTTATTTACATAATTCGCTTGCGCGTAGGGGTCTTTAGCAGTGGGAGGAAACCGGAGGACCCGGAGAAAACCCACGAGGTTGGACAGGCGACCCTACTCCTTGCCACGTACAACTGGGGATTCGAAACCACGCCAGTCGACTCAATGACAGACTTTATGATACAGCGCGCGCACGCTAACCATTCAGCCATCCAACCCCCCCTGCTGCTAAAGACCCCTTCAAGCAAGTGAATTATGGATGTAAAATTAAACCATAAGTTAGTCCCGCAGCCGCAATGACCTAGTATGGGGACATGGACGTTAAACCACATCTCTCTCTCTCTTCACTTGCTTAATCGGAAAACCTGGAGAAAAACCCATGGGGTTGAAGAGCTGACCCTACTCCTTGTCATGTACGTGGGATCGAAACATCAATGACAGACCTAATGATCTAAAGTGCACACATTAGACCAATCGACCACCCAACCCCTCTTAAAATCCATTCTCACAAAGGTTTGTTGATTGGACAAGGAATGACCCCTTTATCCTGTGTTATCATTATTATATTATTAAGTTTATATGTTTTTTATTGGACATAATAATATCTTTGGTGATAAATATTAGAATAGCTCTGATTAAAATAAAATCATTATCTGTATTCTGTAAGTGTAATGTTATACTTCAGACCAGATGAAAAAGTTATCCTACTGCTCGAATCTGGTATACGCCTTCACAGCTCAGATTATGATTGGCCAAAAAATCCGGCTCCTTCAGGATTCTCAATGAAGGTTTGGTGATTTTTTAAATCTACCTTTTAAATAGACTCTATACAAATAAATATCTTTTTACTTCTTTTTATTATTATTTCTCACTTAACTGTTTTATTGCAAGGATCTGTGCACAGGTGGGATTTTCTGTCCAAATTTAGTCAAAAGTATCCAGTTGGTTGATTTTGTATGACTGACAGAAGGCCTAATACAGTCCTAATTCCAAGCTATTAATAAAGAAATAATGTCTCTTTTCACTAGCTTATGGTAGTCCTGATATAATGTCAGTCTGATTTCTCCTGTAACGTCTATTCCTTGGAAAAAAGACAAAAATCGATTAGACTAGTCTTTTTCTACTAGTGTTTAACATCTGCTTCCACCGTGGATGATATCGCATGACAAATTGTCTTATTTTAGCGCACCCAAAGCGGTCGTTCCAGTGGAGCAAACTGAAGTAACCATTGAAAAGGCATCCCTTTCTCCAAACCACATACGCTCACACTATTGATCGTAACCACAACAATAAGCCAGAGGTGACCAGGTAGATAGAGCACTATGCCATTTCCCCCCGCCCCCCACTCCCGTTCCACTTCCGTTCCACTTGTCACTGATGTAGATCTCAAGGCCTAATAAGGAAAAGCTACAAGTCATTTCAATGAGACGAAGATCCGAATTCCTGTGTTTTAGCAGCGGGTGTGTGGATAACCAGAAGGGAAGTTTAGGATTTTTTTAAACTTTCAAAGTTATATTTTCTTTGTTACAGCTGCGAAAACATTTGAAGAATCGAAGATTAGAAAGTGTCACACAGCTTGGAATGGACAGAATTGTTGACTTCCAGTTTGGTTCAGATGAAGCTGCTTATCATGTTATTCTTGAACTTTATGATAGGGTAATAATATTCGATTTTTGTATTTATGACTTGTTTGTTACACACTAGAATTACTAAAATTATAACATTTTATTTTCATAATTATCTATTGTTAGTTACAAGCTAAAATAATAATATATTCATAATTATGTATTGTGTAGTTACATGTACATGCTAAAATTATAACATTCTATTTTCATAATTATCTATTGTTAGTTACATGTTAAAATTATAACATTCTATTTTCATTATTATCTATTGGTGAAATGTTAGTAATTTTGTATCTTGAAATACTGGATTACACTTATAACACAATTTAACTTTGATTTTGCATCCAGAAAAGCAGCAATCTTTAAAATTTAACAATAAGCTCCTTTCATCAGACTATAGGAGTACAGAGCATGTCCTAGAATTCGTTTACTTAAATCAGGAATGATCATGGCATGCAGGGTTACCTATCTCACCTGGTAGTTTTACTAAAGACTCATACATGCCGGTTTATTGTTAAAGTTAAGATTACCATGTGTTAATCCCGAAATAACCTAATATGACCAAATTTTCCCCTTTGTGAGTTAAGGTTTGTTATTATGAGTAGTTGACATTAATTCCTAATCTTTCTTACCTCGAGGGGGGTTGGATGGCCGAAAGGTTAGCACATGCGCGCTGTATCATAAGGACTGTCCTTGAGTCAACTGACATGGTTTCGATTCCCCGGTTGTACGCGACAAGGAGAGGGTCGCCTGTCCAACCTCGTGGGTTTTCTCCGGGTCCTCCTGTTTCCTCCTACTGCTAAAGACCCCTACGCGCAAGTGAATTATTGAAATAAAATTGAACCATATGTTATTCCCGAAATGACCTAGTTTGTTTCGAGTGGACGTTAAACCCCATTTTTCTCTACTATCTATCTTTGTCTAAATCGTACAGAATGTATCTTTAATAGAAAAAACAGATATTTGTACTGTTCTACTCTAACTGGCCTAATGAAGATGGACATATTTATTATCATCATGTTTGCTGTCAGCTACACACTTAGCTTGCTGACAGCCATCATGTCTTTCTAAAAGTTTGTATTATTTATTCTTTTCAGGGTAATATAGTTTTGACAGATTTCGAGTTTACAATTTTAAATATCTTGAGACCTCGTACTGATGAAAGTCAAGATGTGAAACTGGTCGTTCATGAAAAGTATCCTCTGATTCTTAATATAAAACAACATGTTAAACCTACAGAAGATAGGTAAGATCTTCCAGTCTCTATATTCAGTAAATATTCTATATATAGAACTTATGATTACTATATATTGTATTTAATCCTGTAGATTGAAGTAGAAATAGTATCAGAAAGTGTAAGCATACCATCTGTTTTCATAGAGTTTTCAGCAAAAGGGATGATGATTGGTGTTACTATTAAAAGCAGCCCATCAAAAGCATTGTAATGTCTTTCGAGGATATGAATCCGGTCATATGGCATTGATTGATTTATACACATACACAGGAAACCAGATTATGTGTGGTTTAATGTTTGAGAACGAGACATTAAGTAATATATTGAAACAACATGAGTGACATAATCACAAGTTGTTTTTTCAATATATTACGCAATGTCTTAAGCTCGAGACCATTAAACAACTTAAAATACAGACACTCGCTCATGTTTTGCAATGAAATATGTCCACGGATCCAAAATTTTAACTAGTTTAAATAATGTAGGCCTACGCTTGGCACATTGCCCGTACCATTATATGAAATAATGGTACACCAACATCAAAGGATGACGTCACATCTGTATTTTAATTACATATATTTCAAAAGTCAAAAATATGTAGTTCCGGTGTATTATAATAAAAACTTGTTATTACATGATAAGCATATTTGAATATTAATAGAGAGAGAGAGAGAGAGAAATTAGATTCAACATCCACCCAACACAGATTAGGTCATTTTGGAACTAACATGGTTCAATTTTATTTCAATAATTCGCTTGCGCACACGAGTCTTTAGCAGCGGGAGGAAACTGGAGAAAACCCAGACAGTTGGATAGACGACCCTACTCCTTGTCTCATACAAGCTTGGGCTCGAAACCATGCCACTTGACTCAATAATAGACCTTATGATCTAAAGCACATGCATTAGGTCATAAACTATATTTTTAATGTTAATTCTGGCATGCTACTGCTTTAATTGATCAATACTATTGTATTTTCTTTTATATAATGTTTTTCAACAACAAAAATAGAAATAATATTGTTCATTTCCAGAATCCGGGAAATTTTAAGTTCAGGAAAAGACATGGATCCAATAAAAAAATTACTTCTTCCTCACTTAGGTAAATATGCTATATGTACATTGTGTTTTAGTATACGCCCATATTTCCATGTCGAAGTATTATGCTGTCACTCATGTCCATGCATATATGTCTGTCCATTCACATTTTGTTTTTGGACACTCTACAGGTGACATTTTTTATCCGATTTTGACGAAAATTGAAATACAGGTTTATATTCCAAAAATCTTGGTTCCTTTCGATATGAGCATGTATCGGACCCTAACTTCATTGATTATGGATCCTGATTGTATGTAAAATCGGGTCTTTAGCTTGTGGGCACTCTAGAGGTCACAATTTTTCTCAGACTTTGATGAAACTTACAATGTATGTTTATAGCCCAAAGATCTTGGTACCATAACTTCCTGGATTATGGCCCCTGACTGTAAAAAAAATAATGGTTTTTAGCTCTAGAGGTCACAATAATGATGGTTGAGTTTGAATTTCATGAAAATTGGACCAAATTTCCCATCAAAATGGCCACTCCTTTACGCAAATATTGTGAAAATATGTAATATCAAGGGTGTGGACCCTATAGGGGTCGCAATTTTTATCTAATTTTGTTGAAACTTAAAATTTATGTATATATACTAAAGATATTGACACGTCAGACTGTAACGTCATGGATTATGACACCTAATTGTACAAAAAATCGCTTTTTTAGCTTGTTCTTTGTCCATCTCTTGCAAAATGTGGCCATATCTTGCATGACATCCGCTTGTTTAATACTCTACAGGTTAGGGTCTAGTATTTCAGGTGGGATCAAATAAAATGGAGCTTAATTATATTTAGCATCCTACTTTTCTGTTTCAACTGGGCTAATGAAGACAGGCACACGCCATGCAGTGTGCTATTAGAGAAATTTTGCCAGGACAGCGGCACTACGGCCTACTTTTATTTCGAAATCCAACTGTCAAGGGTTCTTTTACATGCACGACCTCAGTTTCTTACCCTCATTCCTGCACCACTGACAAGGGCTAACTACAGTGAAATCCTATGGAATTTTTCGGCCAATCATGGAAGTGAACCAGTGACATAGCTAAATTCTCGGTTCAGAGTGGATCAATTTGGCCAAAATTTTCAGCAAATTCCCTTTACATTATCTAGTTTTTAACTATTATAGTGAGAACTGCTTGCTCTTTATCTAATCTCCCATAATATATCTTTAATCGGAAAATAGTCAAAGTAATGTGTTAACTATACCATAAACTCTGTTCCTTTTCAAGTAACATTAAAATTGGTATTGCAAAATTTCACATACAGAATAAAACTGAATGACTCGACAATGGCCACACAGCACACACCTGTTATTTAAACTTTATTGCATCAGCCCATTTGGTGCCCAAAAGTAGGAGGTTAAATCCCATTTCGTCTTATTATATTTTGCTTTAAGAATCTTATTGTATATGTTAAATATTTTATTGTGAAACAGATTATGGTCCAGCTTTATTAGAACATTGTATACTTGGAGCGGGTTTTAATGAAAATGTTAAACTTGGTAAAGGTTTTGACATAGCACAAGGTAATTAATTACAACATTTCTTATAAATAAAAATTCTTTTGTGTATAACTTTCCCCCAGGACTATTTTCATAATGTTATTAAATATTTTATTTTTAATCTGTATTGTCAGTTTTTGGATCATATCTTTTAAATCCTGATGGCTTTAAAACTCAGTAAATATATTGTGGTTTATTTTTAATAGATATTGGTAAATTAATGAATGGAATTGAAGAAGCTGAGCTATTATTGAAACAGATTTTCACGCAACCCACCAAAGTGAGTCTATTTTCAATTAATTATATGTTAGGTTACACATCACAAAACAACTTCAAAAGTTTTTTAGTTTAAAGTTAATTACAAATATTGAAGCTATTATGTCCAAAATAGACAATATAGTTATCTTCGGAGAACTTTTTAGTTAATTATATGAATTGAGGTTACACATCATTAAACAGTTTCAAAAAGATTTTTATTTAAAAGCTAACTGAAGCTGCTATTTTGTATATTTAGTTTTAAATTGAAAGAGGAAGTTGCTTATTCACTAGATAATTAAAATATATTTTTATGCTATTTCGTGTCTGTTATATTCATATTAAGAGTGTATTATGTAAGATTTAGATAAAGAGCTGGTCATTCTTGCTTTAATAGTTCAAAAATAGATATGCAAAATAAATATATTGAACATTTCATTCACATTACTTGGTAATTTGGATAAGATGTGTGCATTGATTGTTAATTATCGTAATCACGGTATTGGTATATTCAAACCCTTGACAATTAGATTTCCTGGCAATTTCCCTCATAGCACTCTGCATCGTGTATGCATGTCTTTTTTAGCCCAGTTGGCATAGAAGAATCGGGCATTAAACCGGTGTTGGGATTTTGCCTGTATATTACAGACATGTCCTACCTATTTTCCGAAAACGTCCGACCAGGACGTACAGACAGAGTGTATAACTACCACTCAACACCCGATTATCGTTGATAATAGGCTGGATTGATTAGGTAATTAAGTGATCAACTTACTTATTGTGTTATACTGTCTATACACCTACCATGATTAACTGCTTAATCTGCTTTGATTGGCTGACTTAATCCTTTGTTGGACAATTCATCAATCCAATCCTGAACAGAAGTCATTGCTTCTCCTTTGTCGGACTAAGTATCAATCCAATAAGAGTGATTATAAACTTAATCTATGTGATTAACCTTTGATTTCTTCATTGTCGGACGTTTTATTCTCCTTGATAGAAATTAGTCATATATGTCACATACTCTAACAGTATATAACACCCCAAATCAATATCCAAAAATTACTAGTACAATAACTGAAATGGAAGTAGAAATCTCCTGAGACGCGTGAAATTATGAAATGGAAACGTGACAAATTCCACACATCTGATGTTGGAGAAAAGATTCTTTTTTGATTGCATATTCTCGGATTTATGATCATATTTAAAATTTATGGTTTTAAATAAATAAATAAATAAACATGCTAAGAAATGTTGACGAATATTTCGATTGGAATAGTGTAAGTAGTTAATTGTTTTAAATGATAGGAATATTACAAACTTCACGCAGCGATCCATCTACGCCATACTTCGAGATTATGATCACTACCCTGGCTAGTCTCCATTTAAAATGCTCACGTGATCATTTTGGGGCGGGACTGGACGACTGCTTTGTGTACACAACAGAGTAAAAATAACCCGATCAAGCACATGTATTATGTAAACACGTGTCATTGGCAAAATGTCAACTTCAGCCACTACGTTAAAAGCAGTATATAATATGTGCTAGTAGTGGGTAATATTGCAATACATTCTTTGCCATTGTAAACTGTATTTAGTGTTTCAATCTGTATCTTTCAAAACAAGGTTAGATACTCCTAAATTTGTCTTCGCAAACAAAACCGCCTCTGTGAAATTATGTTTCATGGGCGCCGCCATATTGAATAAATAGAGGACTATTTTGTGATTCAGCTTTGATTAGTTTGACATCTTTCATACACACAGCGGCTAAATAAACATATTTAATTTCATTCAATATGACAATAGAAGAGAAATAAATACTTCTAAAAATTACTAAAAGTATACTCAGTGTTTTCGACTAAAATCGTCGATGTAGGAATTAAAATGTCGAGTAATTAGCTTAGGGCCTGTTCTCAGGCTGAGCTAGCTGTAGACAGGCAGCCTAAGTTTGGGATGGGAATATTACTGACATACATTTTAATACCGTACGTGAATTAAATTCCATTTCATTTCACTAATATATCTCTGGGATGACTCTTTTAATCTACATAGAACATCTGCGTATTTACTATAATACCCAATTCGAATAAAACCTTCATAGAACTTATTCACAATAACATAAGCTCAAATATTTTAAGGATTTACCTTTTTGGTTTTATGAAAGTTCACATCTTGTTACGGGGGGTTGGGTGGCTGAATGGTTAGCACGTGCGCGCTGTACCATAAAGTCTGTCATTGAGTCAACTGGCGTGGTTTCAAATCCCTAAAGACCCCTACGCGCAAGCAAATTATTGAAATAAAATTAAAACCATGTGTTAGTCTCGAAATTACCTAGTTTGGGTCGAGTGGACTTAAAACCCATTTCTCTCTCTCACTCTCTCTGTCTCTCTCTCTCTCTCTCACATCTTGTTACAAAATTGGGCTCTCATCTAATGGAAAGACTGCATTCTAAAAATCTTTCAGTTTTCATTTTTGTGAATAAGGCATCTTGTCCTTGTATGAACAAAATAATATATCAAGGTTTACGTGTAAAATATCATCATGGAAGCGGGTTATTTAAATATTTTGATGTGTTTGTTTAATTTTTTTATACTGTTTTATTTTGATTGTATTACAGGGGTATATTACCCAGAGAAAAGACAAACGACCAAATCCTAAAGACGGTGAATCAGAGGACCTTTTAACGTAATAATACATTTCTTCTCTTTTTATTCCTGATAACACAAAACAATATATTATCCTGTTTGTTTGAATGTAACAAAAACCCGATATCCACTATAGGAATTCAAACAAACATTAGACCCAAACTGCTGTTTAACCAAAATTACTCTCTTAGCATTGCCCCATGTGATCATCATAAAATAAATCAACTGTATGTTAGACTAAAAAAATCAAAAATTGTGTTAACTTTACTCCTTTTCCTTCGCTCCCCTTTATTTGATAGTGGTTTACAGTCGATTTCACAGAGGTATTGTGAAAGGCTTCTGTATTAGATGACTGACCTTTATAAGTTCAAGTATGACGTCATATCACAGGGCGTCCATCATTGGCTCAATCTGATTAAAATACAGATGTACTTTTCGTTTTTTTTTTTTTATACTTTCGATGGCCTACACTACATAAAGATCTGACCAGTTGTACTGGGAGGTCACGTCAGAGGTCATATGTGCAGCTTTGGACACTGTGATGTCAGACATTTGATTAACCAATCAGCATTGATGCGTCTAGTGGATTACCACAGTTCGGTGCACCTCACTCCAAAAGCTCGCCGTAACAGATTGTTTCCTTGGCTAATCCCTCACATCATCCAGAACACGTCAATGATAACAACTTTTCCAGATCCTAATGTAGTAATGACAAGAAAAACAAGAGAGTGAGAGAGAAATGGGGTTTAACGTCCACTCGACACAAACTAGGTCATTTTGGGACTAACATATGGTTTAATTTTATTTCAATAATTCGCTTGCGCGTAGGGGTCTTTAGCTGTGGGAGGAAACCGGAAGACCTGGAGAAAGCCCACGAGGTTGGACAGGCGACCCTAGTCCTTGTCACGTTCAGCAGGGGATTCGAAATCACGCCAGTTGACTCAATGACAGGCTTTATGATACAGCGCGCACGTGCTAACCATTCGGCCATCCCCGCCCCCCCCTAAGTAAAACAAAATTTTGAACTATAAAAAACCAAATGAAATAGGATCTATGATTTAATCAGATTGTCATTGGCTCTATGGTGCATGCATTGTTTACATAAGACGTTGTTGCGTTGACTGGTCTGGGCAGAATTGTTTAGAATTTAATTAAAAAGTTAATATTCGGAGCTCATTAAGCCACACTAATATTATCCTTCTCAGTGACTGTAACAGCCTATTGAATATTTACTGCTAATCAGTGTGGGTGGTTTAGATTAAGATTTCTGTGGAATTAAGAATATTTATGCCACAATTATTTCTTTTTCTTTACACATAACTAAAATTTCTTTACAAAAATATATGTGTAAGATATGATATTTTAATTGTTTGGTTACATGCTTAAAGTGACACTGTGTATTACTTTCCCTTTTAAGCCTGTTTCCATGTATGCGTTTTTGCAGCTTTTCTTTGGCGAAATGTAATGGGACTGTTTTCCGTGCAAAAGGCTTAAACACGTACATGGAAAACAGGCCTCAAAGTGTTTAAATTAAATGTAATGAGGTTTAATGTCTGACTTTCTGTACCAGGATAATGAAGACCGACATGTGGGGGAAATTTTGCTAACAGCAATGCTATGACTTGATCTTATTTTGATCTAACTAACGCTGTCACAGGACCCTTAACCTTTTTACCAAGGTGTTATACACAGGACCTCAGTTTTACATCACATCTTAATGTATAGATCCTTTTCCTTGCCCCGCTTGTATGTGAAAAGGAGGAGGGTCGCCTGTCCAGCCTCGTGGGTTTTCTCCAGGTCCTCTGGTTTCCTCCCACTGCTAAACGCCCCTACGCGCAAGCGAATTATTGAAATAAAATTAAAAACTATATGTTAGTCCCGAAATGACCTAGTTTGTGTCGAGTGGACTTTAAACCCCATTTTTCTCTCTCTCTTTTTCCTTGCCAGACCCCCCATCCTGAACAAGACACTCAGCCACCTGTTAAAGGGTTAGATCAAATCATGTTGTATATTTATTCAGTAATTACCGTACTCTAATAAATACAGGTATAAGTATATATTATTTCTTAGAAGTTTATTTGATTTGTAAATATTTTATAGATATGAAGAATTTCATCCTGCCTTATTCCGTCAACATGAGAAAAAACAAGTGGTTGAATTGCCATCTTTTGATAAAGTGAGAACCTATAATATAGCTTAGTTTAGTAAATGACCTGCTGTTTCCTCTGCAACAAATTCTATCCTTAATGAAAAATTATTTTTAAGATTAAGATATGATAAAAAAACAAGAAATTAATTCAAGCTAAATATAACCATCTCTTACTTGATGCAAATCCAAATACTGACCTGGCTTAATAAGATATATTTCAAAAGCCTTCTTTCCAAGTTAAAATCAGTTTATCAAATTTGAAATTTGCTGGATGTAACTGTATAATCGAATCACTTCAAATCAACAAATAATTATTTACCAACCAGTAAAGACCTCCAAAACACCAAGCTTTTTAAATTTCATCCCCCGCAACAGTGACATCATTTTCATTACACGTTGTTTTCCAATCTGTTTCACAGAGTATTACGAGAATCTTCTAATATCTCTGTAAAAGATGACTGCCTTCAACAAATGATGTCATATCACACGGCGTCAATCATTGGCTCAATGGCGCGTGCATTGTTTATATAAGACGTTGCAGATTCGAGCAGAATGGCACCTTTTACTCATTTTAATACCTATTTACACTTGAATTTTTACCTAAAAATATTTCAAACGTCTTTATTTATTTTTCTAATACATAAAAAAAATGTTTTAGAATTTAATTTGTCAGAGGAAAAAAGTTAATATTTGTGACACATTAACTTGCATCGATGTCATCCTTATCAGTGATTGTCGCAGCTTAGCGAATATTCACTGCAGATCATTGTGGTTGTTTTCTTGTAGGTAATCAAACTATAATAGACTAATATCAATGACATTTAATTTCATCCCCCGCAACAGTGACATCAATCATGTTTTTGTAGGTAATGAAACCATAATAGGCTAATATCAACGACATTTAATTTCATCCCCCGCAACAGTGACATCAATTTTATTGCATGTTGTTGTAGGTAATCAAACTATAATAGATAGACTAATGAGATTTAATTTCATCCCCCGCAACAGTGACATCAATTTTATTACATGTTGTTGTAGGTAATCAAACTATAATACACTAATATCTACGACATTGTCGAACATAACATCCTTTCAGAATAATAAAATAACCAGTGGGAAGCATTCATTATCCTAATCTGATTAAAATCATATGTCAATTGCTTATTGTATGTTTTTGTTGTTGTATAATATTTTGTCCAATGTATTTTAGGCATGTGATGAGTTTTTCTCTAAAGTAGAAAGTCAGAGATTAGATATGAAAGCCCTACAACAGGAACGAACAGCTTTAAAGAAATTGGATCATGTTAAGAAAGATAATGAGAAGAGAATACAGGGTTTACAAAAAGAACAGGTACAAGTTTATCACATTACATTATATAACATTATACTTTAAATTATCTCTCTCTCTCTCTCTCCCTCTCTCTCTCTCTCTCTCTCTCCTAAATCTTTAAATTACCTCCCTAACCAGGGGAGTTGGGTGGCCAAATGGTTAAATGTGTCTGTCGTTGAGTCAAGTAGTGTGGTTTTGATTCCCTGCTTGTATGTGACTAGGAATAATCTTGTGGGTTTTCTCCGGTTCCTGTGGTTTCCTCCCACAGGTAAAGATCCCTACACGAAAGCAAATTATTGAAATAAAATTGAACCATAGTAGTCCCGATTTATCGCTCTCTCTATCTCTTTAATCCTTGAAACCCTGACCTCATTTTCATTAATTGTTTTGTTGTAACAGCCACCCAACCCCCACCCCAACTTCTGAGACAATATGTCATCTGAGGAAGAAAACTTATTTATTTTACTAAAGTCATTGTCTGGTATAGGATGTTTAATAGTTTTCAGATCATCATTTGAATCACTAAATAGGTCATTCATTTGTTAGTTGGTTTCAGAGCAATATGTAAAATTACTAAAGTCCCATGTAGACAACTTTAGTGCTTTTTGGGGTTCTGATGTCTCTTTTGCACTGGATTTATTTTTTTACAATCCCCATAATGTCAGAATTATCTGCAATTAACAGAATACTTAATATTTAGGTATCTGATGATCAGTATTTGCAAATATGTGTAAACTGATTCAGAGAAATCTAAATTATTGGTATTTGTTAAAGTAGCTAAGTCTCTAACTCAATATCATCCAAATTCTTCGACATTGAAAACACAAATTATTTGTCAATTTCAATCTTCATTGATGTTGTGATCTTTCGGGGAAAATAAACACTTTACCATTGGTACACGAATCGTGTACCATAATGCGTTTCAGCGCCATTTGTAACATGGGACTCGAAGAACAAGGCAGGATATATTACATAAGCCATGTTAAACAATGACGCTATATTCTTATCTAGAGAGCATGTAGAATAAATACTTTCGGTGTAGACTGGTATAACCAGACACTAAAAATAACCATTCGATTCAGATTTCTGGCGTATTTCGCCGAACATAACCGATTAGAAATTTCAGTCAAAACAGAAAGATTGAAAGTAAATCAGTTTATATACATTCACATTACATCATTATATGCGTTGCGACCCATTTGTGTCAATTTCTAGGTCCCAAATATTAGCAATTTAGCTCCTTTAAATTCACACCTTATATACCTTTTAATTTGTTTAATTTTCAGGAAACTGATGCCAAGAAAGGACAGTTAATAGAGTTAAATCTACAACTGGTAAATACTTTTATTTTGTATTTAAAACACTATGCTCAAGAAATTCAATAAAACTTTTCATTATATGAAATAAGCATAAATTTACACTAAACAGTAGTATTCATATCAGATCAGAACAGATCAGATCAGAACGAAATAAAATTTTTAAAAAAAGGTTATCTTTGGTGTCTGTTGCTGCAAATAGAAATGCCAATGTGGGCCTCAGCTAAGTAGCTTAAGATTAGCTGAAAAAAGAAGAAAACCTAGTCTGATTAAAGGCTTAATACCACTCTTGTTGTAACGGAATAATATGTCCCAATCTTTATTCTGGTCAACAAATTGTACTATTTAACAATATTCCAATTAATTGATGATACAATTACAAATTTCATCTTAACAGTAACACACCTAATTTAAAAAATTGGAAAAATTCAACTAAATGATTTGAAAAGCCTGACGTAAATGTTACTTAGATTTAAAAATATTTTTGAACCCTCAGGGGCCTGTTTCACGAAATTTTAACAAAGATAAAATCCAAATTTTAGTAATTTGATTGAATAATATTAGATTGATTTTAGTGCTTAGCCAATCAAAATTGAAGTATCTACTAAAATTTAGATTTTATCTTTAGTTAAGATTTCGAGAAACGGGGCCCTGGACAAGTAAAATAGGATTTAATGGATAATTTACACAACAGGTAGGACACTAACACATCTAGTACTTAGAATAAGGCTATTTTTTATTTTCTGGAGCTGTCAAGCCAGCAAGAGTGTTATTGTCCCTTTAAGTAAACATAATGTTAACAGTTTGTTTTGGGTGTCGATAAATCAAGTACATGTATCAGAAGAAAAAGATTGTTTTATAAAATGCAATTTTTAAAGTCTGAAATACTTTGCTTTAAAAAAATTCAGTAGTTACATATAATGATATCTTGCAGGTGGATCAAGCTATCATGGTGGTTAGAAATGCAATAGCCAATCAGATTGATTGGAGTGAAATATGGAATTTAATTAAAGAAGCTCAGTTGTCACATGATCCTGTTGCTATGGCAATAAAAGGCATCAAACTTGATACAAATCATATGACTATGCTTTTGAGGTAATTTTTCGATAGTTTGATTAAGTTAAAGAGAAATAGAATAAAACTTGATATAAGATGTCCTCATCAACATTGCCCTTATAACCTTTGTTAGTCATTCAGATGGGACAAAACCCCCGAGGTATTGTGTACACATTGGCATGCATGTAATAGACCCCTTAACAGAATTCATTTGCTCTTCAGGCAAAATTTTCCTCATAGCACACTGTATGGTGTATTACTGTATGCCCTTTTTCATTAGCCTGATTTGTTCATTAAAATAGGATTTTAAACCCCATTTCATTCATTGATTCATAATGTTTGTATTTCTGAAGGAGCCTCGGTGGCTAAGTCAGTAAGACGCTGGCTCGTTAGACTGCAGGTTGCGGGTTTGATCCCGTTGTTGACCGAAAAAGTTCTTGGGGATTTTCTGGCGTGGTTTCCTGTTGACAAAGACAGCTGTCTAGTCATTCGGATGGTATGGAAAACGAGATTTTGTGTACTCATTGGCGTGCACGTAAAAGATCCCTTGACAGTTGAAATTTGATATAAGAGTGGGCTGTAACACTGCTGTCCGGGCAAAATTTCCCTCATGGAACACTGCATGGCATATGCCCGTCTTCATTGGCCCAGCCAGTGCAGAACAGTAGGACGTTAAACCCCATTTCATTTCATTTTATTTTGTATTTCTGAAGTAACGGTTGTAAGAATTATCTGCTTATTGATCATTGCTACATTTACTTTGGTAAAGTGATATTTCTGACTGGTCTTCAGTAACATTTTAAATATGTATTAATTGTTGTATTATTTTCAGTGATCCGTATTATGTAAGTGATGGTGATGATGATGAATCTGATAAACCATTAAAACCTTTAAAAATTGATATTGATTTATCATTAAGTGCTTACGCTAATTCAAGAAAGTAAGTAAAACTAGAAAAATAAACAATGATTTAAATCTGGTCCTCAAACCCTAGGCCTTCTGTTAGTCAACACAGTGAGTCTGTGCACAACTTCTACATTAAACAATGATTTATATCTGGTTCTTAAAACCCTAGGTATTCTAATCAACGAAAAACCGAGGTCCCATTTGCACATTGGCATGCATATAAAAATCCCTTGGCATTTGGAATTCAGTATAAGAGTAGACCGTAGTGCTAGCTACTGTCCATTCAAACTTTCCCTCATAGCACACTGTATGCCCGTGTCCATTAGCCCTGTCGCGCTGCCCGACAAAACAAATATCAGATCAATAGTGCACACACACTGAAATAGCACTGTGAATGTCCAAGCACTTTACATTGAAATAACATAATATGAATGTAGTGATGTATTCAATTTTCTGGGCACAATTATTTATTTAAAAAAAAACATTCTAGTTGTGTTTGAGTAGATGTTGAACCTCCTTTACATTAGTCCTGACACTGTAACCCGGGTATCATTTAATCTTGTGTATCTAGCACTTATTTCTTTCACATTCAATTAATATTAAATCTTTGTTTAAAAATTCGTAAAAATCATTTAAAATCACCAAAATTCATCTTATTTGTACTGTGTCCAGTTTAAAGCTGAATATTCAATTTTGATAATGTGTGTCCAATTTACAAGAGTTTAATTTCTCGATCACTGTTAAAACCCTATTGAGTATTGATGTATAATGATTACTTTTTGGACAGTGGTCAGGAATTTAAATACCCTGTAAATTGGTCAAACTTATTCAGTCAGTTTTATACTGGACTCGAGTACAAATTAGCTGATTAGGGGTGATTTTAAATGATTTTTACAAATTTTTAAACAAAGATTGGATATTAAAAGAATGTGAAAGAAATTAGTGCTAGATACACAAGATTTAAATGGTCTCTATATCCTTATCCATTTTATTACAAGATATTTTGAGAAGAAAAAAACAGCTAAGAAGAAGGAACAGAAGACAATGGATGCCTCTTCTAAGGTTGGTTCAATATGATTTTATAATAGAAAAGGCAAATAAGTTTCTAAGCCTCCAAGAATCTACAAGTCACATCCATCAGCATGTTTCTTCTTAATCCAAGGATGCTTTGATTGAGAACACAGTTTAAAGTTGTTTTGTTTTTTTTTACTTAAATTTTTTAAATATCATATAGAACTTCTAAAGCCGTATAAACCATGTTGGAACCTGCACTCTGCTGATAGAAAGTTACTACATGTTCCTACAGCAAAATACTTAAACTAGTGAACAGTCTTTTGTTTACGTTGTCCAACCTCGTGGGTTTTCTCCGGGTCCTCCGGTTTCCTCCCACTGCTAAAGACCCCTACGCGCAAGCGAATGACTGAAATAAAATTAAACCATATGTTAGTCCCGAAATGACCTAGTTTGTGTCGAGTGGACATTAAACCCATTTCTCTCTCTGTCTCTATAAGTACCTGGGTAATAAGGATGTCTATATAATCATAGTCATAAGGATTATCAACTCACATTCATACAATTGAACAATTATGGAATTCCTTAAAGCGATAATTTCATATTTTTAAGTTATATTTTTAAAATGTATTAAAATAAAGCCTTAAAATAGATGGTATCTATAAACAGTCCTACCTTGTTAAAGAAAATCCTATTAATCCTATAATTCACTATTGCCAGGTGAGAAATTGGCAAAAATATCATTTTCAAATTCAAACGTTTGAAGATAGCTATTCCATGGTGGGGAATAGAAAACAAGGGAGATAATTGTGTTATTATTTCCGGGGTGAAGGCTTTTTTAAGGTTGAGAATGATACCTATGATCGTATAATAGTGAGTTGGCAACCTATTGAGCAAAAGAAATAGAAATAATTATGTTTTGATTTTCTTAGAAAATATGAAATTCTCACTTTAAATGAGTTACATAAATAGCATTAATGTTGAGCAAAGCTACTGATCATTTCCCAAAAGGCTCAATGTATGGATTTGAAACGTTCTGACAAGATTAACAGTCTATTTCGTCAAATGTTTGAATTTGAATTCAATAGTTAAACTCTCTTTTATTTATGGTGTCCTGTGAAATCTAGGACTTTAATTAAATAGTATATTTGTCAAAATTAGAATATTTGTCAAGATTAATCAATTACAAAGCATACCTTTGTATATTGGCTACTTTTAACCTCAGTCACGATTGAGGTCTCTTGTTTTGCCATAATGAGGTGGTTTAAATACCAGGGTAGCCATTTATTTGTGGTCTGGAATTGTTTAAATTATTTTCAAATTTGTTAAAATTACTTTCAAATTTGTTTAAATTACTTTCAAATTTGTTTAAATTATGTTCAGATTTGGTTAAATTTATTTGCGTATTGCAACATTAATATTTCTTTCTTGGTTTCTATTTCAGGCATTTAAATCGGCTGAGAAGAAAGCGTTAAAGGCTCTAAAAGAAGTTGCCACAGCTGTCTCTATTAATAAAACTAGAAAAACATATTGGTATGTATAAATGGATGGTTATAATGGATTCGAATAGTATTAGGATTATCATATGTAACACGTAGGCAGAAGTTGTCTAGCGGTAGAGTGAGGGTTGGGTGGTCAAATGAGGTCTGTCATTGAGTCAAGTGGCATGGTTTCCATTTTCCGCTTGTTCGTGACAAGGAGTAGGATCGCCTGTCCAATCTCTTTGGTTTTCTCCTGGTCCTCCGGTTTCCTCCCACTGCTAAGAGACACCTATTTGCAAGCGAATGTGCTCAATCAGACATCAAGATATGGTGAATAATATTCAAAATTTCAGAATAATATATTGTACTGAGTGTATAACTACCACTCAACCCGATTATTCTTGATAATAGGATGGATTGATTAGGTAATTAGGTGGTCAACGTATTTATCGTGTTATACCGTTTATACACCTATCTTGATTAACTACTTTATAATCTGCCTTGATATTGGCTGACTTAATCCTTTGTTGGAAAATTCACCAATCCAATCCTGAACAAAAGTCATTGCTTCTCCTTTATTGGACTATGTATAAATCCAATAAGAGTGATTATAAACTTAATCTACATTATTACCTCTAATAAATTGTCTGCAATACCACATCGGTGGAAGCAAAGCTTAAATAAAGGTATTTCACGCGCATACACACACACATATATATCTGATAAATACTCAACAATGTTTCTAAAGACACAAGGTTATAATACAATAACTAAAAACTAAAGTAGAAATTTTGTGAGGCGTGTGAAATTATGAGTTGGAAACATGACAATAGTAATGTCGTAGAAAATATTCTAATTTGATGGCATGTTTTTAACTAAAGAAATAAACAAGCTAAGAAATGTAGACAAATATTTCAATTGGAATAGTGTAAGTAGTAATTAATTTTTAGAGACGATAGCGCATGCAAGAGTCATTTTTCTTTTTTTTTACCTTCATCCGTACATAAGTCATAACCGTGAATAACACGATGGCCAGACTTCTGCTGGAAAAAGTATCGGTAATTTTAGAAGAATATTACTGGCGGCACTCTGTCATTCTGTCGTATTACAACAACATGCAATTTTGTAGAAATATTACTGACATAAATTTGAATATCATACGGGAATTAAATATGAAAAATAACGAGGTGCACCTATTTTTTTTTTTACGTACAAATTTGAATATTTTGTTGACACATGATTTATAATTGTGGTCTGTACTCGCCCGCTTTAATAACCATTAGAGTTATGCCCCTTTATTTTTGGTAAAAATGTTCGACAAGAAAAATTTTGAAATCCCAACACTGCATTTAACCCCATGTATTTATCTCTTACACAAGTTTTACCCAACAACTATATTAAAAGTGAATTGTTTATCAAGACTACCATTGCACAAGTAAAGATGTTTGGATGATTTGCCATTTTAATGTCCAATCATTGTAAAAATGTGATTTTAAGGACTGAACTATTTTTTAGTCATCTTGTACGATATCTGGTCCATGACCCTAATAAACAATTCCCAGCTACGTACGTGAATTAGTGCAAGTTTTGTTTTCATTTGATGGATATAAACATAGATGATGATGCGTAAGCCAATATCTTCTTTGTATATAAGCCTATTATATTGCCCACTTACACGTACTCTTAGTTATTTCCTATTGATTGTGTTATTCAATCCATGCATCGTTTTAACACATGCTGATTAGTAGCTTTGCAAGTTTCTTCCTTGCAGTATGTCTGCACAAAAAAAGCGGACTTTAGTTCAAAATGATGCTCTATTCAAATGAAATTAATTGGAGTTTATTAACGTCCTACTATTCTGCACCGACTGGGCTAATGAAGACGGGCAAACGCCATGTAATGTGAAATGAGGGAAATTTTGCCTGGACATCGGTGCTATGGTCTACTCTTATATCGAATTCCAACTGTCAAGGATTCTTTTACGTGCACGCCAATGTGTAGATGGATGTCTTCTGTCCTGCACCACTGACAAAGGGAAAGTATGCCGAAAAATCTTAAGAAAAGGGAACGAAACCGGAAAGCTCTAGGCTAGCGAGTCAGCACTCCTACTATTTAAATGCAAGAGTTGTTATTAATTATGATATTTTACTTTAACCTTTTAGAATTTTCGCAGGTACTTAAGCGAAGTCGTTACATTTGAGTTTTAATTATAGTAATGAAAAGTCCCTTTGTATGTAAATGGCTCTTAGCAGAGGATCTTCTTTAAGTTTTTTAAAAGCATTGACAACTGACAAACTTAAAGACATTTTAATCCGGATAATAATTATAGTTTAGCCATCTAAAGGGATTACCACAATTCTTTTCATAATTCCGAATACATGACATGGAGATAAAAACACACTCAAGAAAGAGTTTTTTCATTCTTTAAATGAACGAGAAGTAGTCCCTATTTATGATAATGGAGTGTTTTTATGTAACATGCATCAAATTTTACGCAGTTAAGAATTTTAGTTTTGAAAGAAATTTGAAGTTGCGTTGTTGTCACACATGTCAGTTCAACAGTTTCACGTTGTTCGGCGAGTATGGCGCTAGAATTCCAGTCCAATTTCACCTTATCAGTGATGCAGGACAGAGGATCTAGCACAAAAACTTGTCTTAGTCATTCGGATGAGACAAAAAAAACCCTCAAAGTCTTGTACACCATTGGCAGCACGTTAAACACCTCCAGACAGTTAGACATCGAAATACGAGTAGGTTGTTCCAAGAGTATGACGCTGCAATCTCATGAGTTTCCAGCCTGGTTTCACCTTATCAGTGATGCAGGACAGAGGAGCTAGCACAATAATTTGTCTATTCATTTGGATGAGACAAAAAAACTCAAAGTCTTGAGTACACCATTGGCAGCACATTAAACACCTGACAGGCATCGAAATACGAGTATGTCGTAGCACTCCTCTCAGAGCCAAAATAACTCTCATAGCAGACTGCATGGGGTATGTACATCGTTTCACAGAATTACTGCCCCTCAGTCTGAAATCAAGTTTGAGGCCAGGCCCCGAATTCACAAAACATTCTCAGACTTAAGCTAAGAATTTACTTAACTTTCAGTCACTATTTATGAGAAATATCTTTGATCCAGAATAATGAAACTTTACACATAGTTTCTTATTGATGTATTTGATACATTAAAATGAAAAAGGTTTTATAAAGGGCAATATTTTAGTTATAATAAGGTGAACAATTTTGAGTAAATTCTTAACTTAAGTCTGAGAATGCTTTGTGATCTTGGGGCCAGCCCTTTAAAGTTTAAAATTTCCTATGCTCGATTAGTTGCTTATAAAGAAAAAAGCCCAATTCTATTTGGTACAATTAATCACTGTGTTAATACCAATCCATGGTTTTGCCTTCATTAGCCCAGTCCATTTCCAATCAGTGATGAAAATACCTGTAAATATATTAATTTATATAAAAAGAAATTTATTTTATTTTAAAATATGGTTATAACGTTTGTCATTAATTGTTTTTTGAGAGTGAGAGGAATAATGTTCAGTTTATTTTCCTACAACATAATTAGAAAATTCTTGTGGCTATCTATGAGCTTTTTACCTGTGACATATCCCCAACAACAGGAATGTCCTTCTTGTAAAAAGTGATACATGAGCGGTCTTGTAGATAACAGATATTTTATGCAGATTAAAGATAGAATATATTAATAAATTATTAAACTTATATACTGCTAAAATCCAGTTTGTCAGGGCACATTTCCAAACATAAATATATATTATAAAACATACAAAATAAAAAAATATAAATTATAAAGCATACAAAATAAATAATATCTAAATTATAAAACATGCAAAATAAAAAAATATATAAATTATAAAGCATACAAAATAAATAATATCTAAATTATAAAACATGCAAAATAAATAAAATATAAATTATAAAACATGCAAACTAAATAAGATATAAATTATAAAACATACAAAATAAATAAAATATAAATTATAAAACATGCAAACTAAATAAGATATAAATTATAAAACATACAAAATAAATAATATCTAAATTATAAAACATGCAAACTAAATAAGATATAAATTATAAAACATACAAAATAAATAATATCTAAATTATAAAACCATGCAAAAGGAATAAAATATAAAAGTACATCAATATTATGACCAAAATTTAAACAATTAAACTAATTGATAATATGTAACAAAACAAAACAAAACATCTTACAAAAATAATTTAGTCTTACATAAAAGTTGTTAATTGGAGTGGTACAGATTAAATTTAGTCTTAAATAAAAGTTGTTAATTGGAGTGGCACAGATTAACATCAAAAGGGATTTTGCGATCAGGTTTTTATTTTATCTACATATACTAAAACATCTGTGTTTTTTATTTCAAAAGATAGTGGATACTTTGATAACACATATTACAGGAAGTATTGCAATGAAAAAAGCTTTTATATGACATCAGAGATAATTGAAATTGAAATCAATATTTATTCGTTTTGATGTTATATTAGAACTTCATGTACCTGTGGATTTAGTTCAATACTTTTATTTTTAATATTTCCATGATGTTAGTTGTAAAGAATCTATATGAAATTAAAATATAGTTAGCTACATTCGATAAAATTCTTGAATAATTTCTCATTAAACATGTAATAACTGAGGAATTATGAAGCATGACTTTAAAACAAAATAAACAAATGTTTTATAACTCATAAAATGATAGGATACATGTACTTGAAAATTTACTTTTGTTGACATCATCAGTGTCATCTTGGAATTGTGACATCATATAAAAATGGAAATCTGTCAATCAATGTGCAGTTGTCCAAGGAACAAGCTTGCCAAGTTTGATGTCGATCGTAATTGAATTGGGCTTTTTTTTAAGACTGTAGCCTCCAAGAACAGCCACGAGATCTGTATCACTTGGACAATGTACAGTTCCTTGTGGAAAACGAAATTGAAATGTAACTGACCATTACATTTTGTTTTTTCTAAACAATATTTATTCACAGAAACTGGATTGAAAAACAGGCAGAAGCCTATAGACCTCCCCCCCCCTCCATTAAAGTAGAAACATAAATATAAATATATAGTGAAAAGATGTAAGAAAGAAAAATAAAGTAGAGGAACATGTTTGTAATGTAATGAATTACCTTTTCAGTGCTAATTATATTTTCAGTAATAACCTTTATATTTATCATTTTCGGATGGGACGAAAAACCGAGGTCCCCATGTACACATTGGCGTGCACGTAAAAGATCCCTTGGCAGTTGGAATTCGATGTAAGAGTAGGCCATAGCGCCACTGCCCGGGCAAAATTTCCCTCATAGCACACTGTATGGCGTATGCCTGTCTTCATTAGCCCAGTTTAGGAGCAGAACAGTAGGACGTTAAACCCCATTTCATTTCTTTTGAAATCTGTTATTACTAATAACATGACCTTAATTTGAAAACATGTAATGATTACACTCCATTACGAATTACCCTGATAGTGGAAATTGTTCTACACACTTAAAACATTTAGTGTAAAACACAGAATTAGAGAATCAGGAATTTAATATAAATATTGTAAACTAAAGGATGTTGATATAAATATATTAAAGTAAAAGGCAATGATGAAAATTTCTGTTAATTATGTCTGTTTGTCTATCTGTCTGTCTGTCTATGCTTCACAAAAAGATAGATATGCACCCAATTAGTTTTGATCATCTATTTATTTTGAGGACGGAGGGCCTGACAAGGACAGCTGTCTAGTCCTTCGGATGAGACGAAAAACCGAGGTCCCGTGTATATATTGGAATGCACGTAAAAGATCCCCTGGCAGTTGGAATTCGATATAAGAGTAGGCGATAGTGCCACTGCCCGGGCAAAATTTCCCTCATAGTATGCCCGTCTTCATTAGCCCAGCATAGGAGCAGAACAGTAGGACGTTAAACCCCATTTCATTTCATTTCTATTTATTTTGAGATTGAGACAGGGTACATTTTCACAGTTTCAATTTCTCAAAATGTCAGCTATAAGAAAAAAAATGGTAGAATTGTAGTCTACTGTTATTTGTCATTATTAAATTCTGTATTTTACTCTGGACAAAATAAATAAAATCTACCACAAGATCAGCATGTTAAACCTCAGTCTATAATCTCTTCTATTTTAGGTTTGAGAAGTTTCTGTGGTTTATTAGCTCGGAGAATTTTCTGGTAATTGGTGGTCGTGATTCACAGCAGAATGAACTGATAGTTAAACGCTATTTTAAACCAGGTAATCATAGACGTCGTCCAGCTGTAGCAGATTCTTTAGATTAGAGTTAAATAAGGAAGATGTTTATTGGTAATCTGGCATATTGCGACTTTAACCGATTCATATAATACAACAGTAACTTGACGTAGCCCATTTAAATTACTAAATAGTTGTAGTTCTTTCATTTATCGAGGCGGGGTAGGTTGGGTTAATCCCGCACTTGTACGTGACAAGTTTTCTCCGGTTCCTCTGATTTCCTTCCACTTCTCAAAAACCATGAGCTTGAGAATTATTGAAGTAAAAATTTGCTATTTGTTAGTCCCAAAATGACAGTGTGTGTTGAGTGGTTGCTAAACCTAATTTCTCTCTCTTTAATTTGATATGGCTGAGAAAAAAAAAAGATTCATCGTTGAAAATAATTTATATATCATTTCTCCAGGCATCTAATTTATAAGTAACAAGCTACACATTTTTTAGGGGGGTTGGATGGCTTAGTGGTTAGCACGTGCGCGCTGTATCATTCAGTCTGTCATTGAGTCAACTGACGTGGTTTCGAATCCCCGGTTGTACGTGACAAGGAGTAGGGTCGCCTGTCCAACCTCGTGGGTTTTCTCCGGGTCCTCCGGTTTCCTCCCACTGCTAAAGACCCCTACGCGCAAGCGAATTATGGAAATAAAATTGAACCATATGTTAGTCCCGAAATGACCTAGTTTGTGTCGAGTGGACGTTAAACCCCATTTCTCTCTCTCTCTCTCTCACACATTTTTTAAAACAAGAGGGAGAGAAATGGGGTTTAACATCCTTTTAAAAAAATAGCTGTACTAAATAATTGTCGTTCTGTGATTTATGGCCGAGAGGAAAATAAAAGATTTGTAGTTTAAAGTAAATATCTGTATTATGTTCTATTTTAAACAGACATTATGCCAGAACTAGATCTGACTATTGCAGGTCTTTCTTTAGGCCTGTAATGTTATATAAATTAATAATTAGACATTAATTAACTTGCCAAGACCGTAATCAACTCTCGATGCCATCGGATGGCTGCGATATAAGTAGATTTGAACAAGTTTTGTGGTTGATGCAGTTACCGTAAAAATAGATAATTGAGACATTGTTTATTATAGCAACATCGATAATTGTATCGCTGATATCTAGGCCCAGAGTGAAGTAATTTGACTGAAATTTTCAGTATATTCTCTTTTCATTATCTATTCTTTAACTATTATAGCGAAAACTGTCAGCTCTTTATCTAATGCTGCTTTAATGGACCTGTACATCAATGCTGATATTCATGAAATCATTGAGATCTCTGATCCCGGGAATTCAGGAAAAAAAAAATCAAAAATAAATTGTTTTTTAAATTCTACTTTTTAGGTGATCTCTACGTTCACGCTGATCTTCATGGAGCCAGTAGTGTTATTATTAAAAATCATACGACAGCTCATGTTCCACCCAAGACTCTCAATGAGGCAGGAACTATGGCCATTTGTAATAGTGCAGCATGGGATGCTAAAGTAATAACCAGTGCTTGGTATGTTTATCACGAACAGGTGTCTAAAACAGCACCTAGTGGTGAATATCTGACAACGGGTAGTTTTATGATAAGAGGTAAGTTTTACATTCCTTCAACTAAGGAAGGGGGGTTGGATGTGCGCGCTGTATCATAAGGTCTGTCATTGAGTCAACTGGTATGGTTTTGATTCCCCAGTTGTACGTGACAAGGAGTAGAGTCTCCTGTCCTATCTTGTGGGTTTTCTCCGGGTCCTCTGGTTTCCTCCCTCTGCTAAAGACCCCATATCTTAATCCCGAAATGACCTAGTTTGTGTCGAGTGGACGTTAAACCCCATTTCTGCCTCTCTCTCTCTCTCTCTCTCTCTCCCTCCCCTTTGTCAATGATGTAGGATGGCGGGCCTAGCAAGAAAAAGTTGCGGTCCTGTTTGTATACGACTGGCATTGTGTAAAGGTGGCCCGACAGTTGGGTGTCGAAATTTGAGAAGGCTGTAATGCCGCTGTCGGAGAAAAATTTCCTTCATAACACACTCCATGGTATATGATGCGCATTCCCAATAGCCCGTTTGGTGATGTAAAATAAGACATTAAACCTCATTTCATTTCTATAATGCAAGGGATTCTCGAGAGAACCAGACATCGTATGACGTTCCTTAAACTTAAGGGCAGGGGCTAGTCGTCAAACATTTATTCAAATTTAAATAGTTTTTCTGATCCATCCTCGATGCTCTAGAAAACGTATATTAAATATTAAAGGTGTATTATGTAAGAGCTAAATCCACCTATTGTAGGTCTCTCTTTTGACTTCAAATCTTATAAATTATTGTTTAGACATTTATTCACAAGCCTATAATCAACTCTCTAGAATGAATATTCAATATATTCATTTTTTATTATCAATTTTTGAACTATTATAGCAAACGGTCAGCTCTTTGTCTAAATCTTACAGAATGTATCTTTAATAGAAAAAACAGATATTTGTACTGTTCTGCTCTAAGTGGCCTAATGAAGATGGACATATTTATTATCATCATGTTTTGTGTTATCTATGAAATATGCAGTCAGAACAGTAGGACGTTAAACCCCATTTCATTTCCATGAAACATGTCTGCATATTGTTTTATCGCATAATCTATCATGAAGGACAGATGTACACGTATGTATATCAAAATTAAATAATTACCGTTATATCCGATTAAATGTACTTGCATACTAAGCTTATGGATCAATAGATTGTAAATACCACGCAATATTCCAAAAATAATATATATACAATAGAGGAATTTAGTTCAGTGTCATTATTACAATTTATATCACATAATATAAAGTATGTCATTGTCAAAATAGATATAACCTAAAATAAACTATTAATGAGTATAAATCTAATTATATATTATTAATTTGTTTATTATTGTCAGTTCTACCATTTTTAGTTGGATGTTGTTAAAGATATATTTAAACTCATATACTATTTAACACAATCAGTGGCTTAATTTAAAGTTGTGGTTGAAGATAGTAACAATAATAGTAATATGTACATTTATATATATAGCGCTAGTACTCCACACACACACACACACAGTTAAAATATTTTAATTAAACATCATAATATTTCTCAAAAAGATAGATTTTAAGTTTTGATTTAAAACATGAAAGAGTATGAGATAATTTAATAACTTTGGACTGATTATTCCACTGTTTTGGCGCATTCACTGCGAACGATCTATATCTAAATGATTTTAAATACTGATAACTAATTTTTAAAATGGAAAAATAAATATATAATTGAGCACATTAATAGTACATCTGAACATTGAAAATGTACTTTTATTGTGCTCAATCTCAAAATGTCGTTAAAATTTCCGATGTACTCATTCCAAATTCAGGACAGTTCTCTTCAAGAGGCAATATCACTTTCAACAAGAAAATAAATTTCATTATTTTTATATAATAATATTTTTAAAAAATCTAATTATTGTATATCCAAAACTGGCATTTTGCACAAGAGTCCACTGAAATCTTGAAAAAATCTTTTGATTCCACAATCTTGCATTGTTAATGATAACTATAAAATATGTTATGGTAAGTTAATTCATACAAATGATTTGAGATTACTGTAGTTTCATAGGCAGTAAATTTGAACTTTGTCTTGTGTACCTGTTTGTGTGTGATACGGTCCTCCTGCATTTAGTATATGCATTCTACTAATAATTTCTACCATATGTAAAATATTGTACGTTCTACTAATAATTTCGACCATATGTAAGATATTTTTCAAAATGTGAATCGGTTTGAGCTGGAAACCGAATCGACTAGGACTAAACCGATTAATCGTGGCAACCCTAGCTAGTAATATCAAATATTTTACATATATATGATTTTTTGCTTATTATAGGTAAAAAGAATTATCTACCACCATCTTATCTGATTTTTGGTTTCACACTACTCTTTAAGGTAAGTTGTTCGAGACATGTGCATTTTATGTATATCAAGTATCTTACCATTTACACTTTAAGTATATCAAGTATTAACATCATTTCAGTTAGAAGAAGGTAGTGTTGAACGTCATCGCGGTGAACGAAAAGTTAGAACTTTAGAGGATGATGATGCCATCTCGGTCGTTGATTCTGTTGCTGATAGTGAAACACTGGACATTGATGAAACAGAGACAGCTGATGGAGAGGAAGATAGTAGCAGTAGTGAAGAGGATGGTGAGAAAGGAGAAGAAATGAAAGAAGAGGAAGCAATAGAAGAAGAAAAAGAAGAAGAATCATCAAGTGAAGAAGAAGAAAGTAGTTTTCCTGATACATCTATTAATTTACAACATGTTAAAGGAGAAAAGTAAGATATTTGAATTTTAGAATAACATTTTAAAAAAATTATATTACCAGTGGCAAAAAAAAAATGTCTAGTCATTCGGATGATATGAAATGAAATGAAATGAAATGAAATGGGGTTTAACGTCCTACTTTTCTGCTCCTAACCTGGGCTAATGAAGACGGGCATACGCCATACAGTGTGCTATGAGGGAAATTTTGCCCGGGCAGCGGCACTACGGCCTACTCTTATATCGAATTCCAACTGCCAAGGGATCTTTTACCTGCACGCCAATGTGTACACGGGACCTCGGTTTTTCGTCCCATCCGAACGACTAGACAGCTTTCCTTGTCAGCCTCTCCGTCCTGCATCACTGACAAGGGAGAACCACGCCGGAAAATCTGGATGAACTTTCTCGGCCAATGCAGGGATCGAACACCCGACCTCCAGGCTAGCGAGCTAGCGTCTTACCCACTTAGCCACGTGATCCCCTCGGATGATATTAAAAACTAAGATCCACCCATGTAACAGAACCCTTGACAGTTGGAACCTGCTGTAGAGTTAGCACACTATAAGAGAGAAAATAGATCATTTTATGACTAACACATATTACAATTATGTTTGAATGCTCTGCTTAGCAGTTGAAGGAAACCAGATGACCTGGAGAAAACCCAATAAGATGGTCAGGCAACCCTACTCCTTGTCAGGTACAAGCTTGGTATCAAATCTTGACTAAATGACAAACCATATGCGATTAGACCACTCGGCCATCGCCACATTCCCCTCTCACTCCCCGCCTCCTAAGTTTTTGAATGGTGGTGTTACTAATTACTTCAAAGAGTTACATTTCAATATTGTTATTATTTTCTTTCTAGATTTGAATTACAGAGAGGTATCAGTGTGAATAGTACTAATAGTACAACTAGTGCCATCTCAGAAGTAGCAGACGACACAGTTATCTACCTTGGTGATGATAAACCCATCATTTATGGAGAAAAGGTCAGTTCACTATGAAAAAAAAACATAGACAGGGGATTGACTGATTTCCCCTTGATAATCATCATTATATAGGTGAAATTGACATAAGTCTTTGTAAAAAACATAGATGTGTGTAGAAAGATTGATTTGTCTGTTGATTTTGTGCAGATCCTGGGGCATGTAGAATTTTAAGGGTTCAATATATTGTTGCGGAAAGCGTCGATTTAGATCATCATGTTTTCAGATGTAATGCTAGTGTCCTTTTTAAGCCAGCACAATGAAAAAGGCCCTTGACAATCGACAACTTTTTCGTCTTACTGGCTTAACGGCGACATTCTATGTACATCTGGGAAGACGTGGATCTACATGGACACTTTCAGCTCCAATATGTTTATTTTTCTGTTGACAAAAATTTATGAGGCAAATCACTGTTTTTCCTGATAATTAGCATGAATGGTATCAGTATTGGCAGATCTAGAAAAAATTGAAAAAAATATAATTGAAGTTTGGCATGATGTCCCTTTAAATATTCAACTTTAAGCATGAACACAGCAAAAATATCTGATTTAAGATTTAAGAGATTTTATAATGTAGATTCCTAATCCTGATATCATTACATTGACAGACCTCATACCCACTTTAAAATGGTAATCTGTGGAATTGCGTAATATCAACAACTCTACGTGAGTTTTTAATTTGCTGTGTAGTATAATAGATAATAACGTGAATTTCATATCAGCAAGAAAAACTCCCATACATTGTTGATGCAGAAATTTGTGATTATTATTGAAAGAAAATGTGGGCTGAAGTTGATGTACTTAATTCAGTGTTAAAATGTACTTGATAGCTTTTTAATTCTCTCAGGACATTTGTCATCTTCACTGGCCAAGGGTAACCCTTTGCTAGTGAAGATGGACGTTTGTATGACCTTGCAATTTTAAATTGATTTTATGATTTCAAGAATTTTATATTCTACTGTATTCAATTACCCACATATTAAAATTTGAACAGTTCTTTTAAGACAAATGGGGTACTGGATGGCCGAATGGTTAGCACACGCGTGCTGTATCATACAGTCTGTCATTGAGTCAACTGGCAGGGTTTCGATTCCGCGGTTGTACGTGACAAGCAGTAGGGTCACCTGTCCAACCTCGTGGGTTTTCTCCGGGTCCTCCGGTTTCCTCCCACTGCTAAAGCGAATGATTGAAATAAAATTGAACCATGTGTTAGTCGCGAAATGACCTAGTTTGTATCGAGTGGACGTTAAACCCCATTTCTCTCTCTCTCTCTTTTAAGACAACTTATTTTTATTTTCCTATAGAAATGTGGTATAAATAAAGTCAAATTATCAGCAAAACAAAGAAGGTAGGTCTCATAACTAATATTTATATGTCTAAATATATATATACCTCTTAAAGATACATTATGGCAGATTAGATAAGGAGATGGTAGTTCTCACTATAATAGTTAAATTGTTTCAATGGCATTTAGTAATTGAACTTGAGTATACAGGTCACAATTCTATGGAATACAATTACAATTATTTCTCTAGTCATTATCAAGCAATGATAAAATATGAAAATATGACCTGTATATAATAGTTAAAAACTAGATAATGTAAAGGGAATTTACTGAAAATTTCAGTCAAATTTTTGATTATGGGCTGGATAAGTTAATTAATGTCTAATTAATAATTTAGGTAACATTTCAGGATTAAAGAAAGACCTGCAATAGGCAGATTTAGCTCTTGCATAATGTATATTTAATAAAATTTGTTAAGATGCTATTGAAAAAGAGTATCATTGATCCCAGAAGTTATAATTAAAAGGTTTTCAATTGATGTATGATCAAAAGATTTGAGCTCAAAGTTTCACAATTTGTCATTTTGAATTTCCCTTCAAACTGCTTTGTTTACATTTATAGAAATATAAAATCTTAGAATTGCATTAACATAGTTTTGATAATATCACAATATTTCAGTGTTTTACAATCTTTATTAATGATTTGGTCTGTGTTTTCCAGGGATATGAAGAAAGGTAAAAAGGACCTGTCATCGGAGGCAAATGAAGACATAAAATCACAACTACCAGACACACAACAACCAAACAAACAACAACCAGGCACAGAACGAGACACAAAACAAGACACACAGCATCATAAACACAATCAGGTACTTTCTTGCAATATTTGTGTTATCAATCTGCAAACCTGGACATATTTCCCGAATTACTCACGTTTATAGACCTAAATTCCTTTGGTGTCTGTTACATGTTCAACCACAAACAGTACCTCTTTTTAATTTGGGGTTATGATATACATGTATATTAATGATTTCAGATTCATATTTGCTGGATTTTAGAGTCTGACATAGGTAAAATTGATATTTGTGGGCCTGTTAATACAAACAGTTGACTGTATTTGTTTACATATGTTTTTATAGGAAGAGATACAGAAGGGTCCGCAACAGATGCCATTTAAACGAGGTCAAAAGGTGAGTCTTTTATTTTGAATTTTTAGCTTTTATGCTGATAATTCCACTGAATTTCTCTTAAATTTAAATGAAACTTGTGATTATTGCAAAAACCTTTAATTTCTGAATATCTAATAAAAACATTTTTAAGGAGTTTTCTAATTGGGATTTTATCATAACCATAATTAAACTACAATTATTTTTTTGTGAACACCTCATATCTTCTACAAGACAACATATTAATATTCTGTGAAACTGAGGGAGCTGCAGTGGATCAGTGAGTAAGACACTGGATCCCTAGCTGGGAAGTCTTGTGTTTGCTCCCAAGGTTTCCCCCTTGTCCTTGGTGTACACATTGGCATGCACGTTAAAGAAGCCTTGACTGTTGGAATTTGATATAAGACCATACTACAGGCCGTAGTGCCGCTGTCTGGGCAAAATTTCCCTCATAGCACACTGTATGGCGTATACCCGTCTTTACTATCCCAGTTGGTGCAGAAAAGTAGGACGTTAAACCACATTTCATTTCTATGAAAGTAGTGTGACGTGTAAACTGAAAAATACAGTTTGTGTCTTGTTTTCACAGGCAAAACTTCGTAAAATAAAAGAAAAGTATGGAGATCAAGATGAAGAGGAGAGACAACTCCGTATGGGAATACTCCAATCTGACGGACCAAAGAAAGAACCAAAGAGAAAAGGAAAGAAGGGAAGAGAATTAGAACAGAAGAAACAGCAGCAAGCAAAACGAGCAGCCAGTGGTGGTAAAACAGTCAAACCTGTGATAGCTGATATTTTTGATCTGGAGTCGTTAGGTTTAAAAGGTAAGTAGTTAATAAAGATAGCCTATCCATAATTTATATTCCAGCACATGAATTATTCATTTATCCTGTTGTTTTCTTGGTAAATATTGACCTGGTTATAAATTGTGATACGAATCATATCACAGCACCTGAATCACAATACGCATTGTATCATGACTATTGTGGCAATCATTTGATGTGGTTTATCTCAGACCAGCAAGATATTGTTTTATAAAACTATGGCAAAACTACAAGGTTAAAGTAGCTAAGTCTGTAACTCAATATCACCCAAAGTCTTACAAGTTGAAAACACGAATTATTTGTCAATTCAAATCAACATTGATGTTGTGATCTTACCGGGAAAAGGTAGGCTTCGGATATCCAATATTTAAGACAAAATAAACATTTTACCATTGGTAGACGAATGGTGTACTATAGTGCGTTTTAGCGTCATTTGTAACAAGTGATCAGAAAGAACAAGGCTAGACATATTCCACAATTTATGTCAAATGATCACGCCATATCTTATCTGGAGAGCATGGGCAATAGGCTGGAATAACCAGAAACTAGAAATTGCCATTCGGTTGAGACTCATGTCGTATTTCGCTGGATGTAACTGATTTGAAATTAAGAGTCAAAACGGAAACAATTGAAATGTAAATCAGTTTATATACAATCAGATTAAATTATTATATGCGTTGTGACCCATTTGGGTCAATTTCTAGGTCCGAAATATTAGCGATTTAGCTCCTTTAAATTCTTTTAAATTGACTGACATTTTAGTTCAACAGTTGGTCCGTTTCAATGCCAGTCATTCAAGACTGACAAATATAAGAGAAATAAGAGCCTTGCTATAAACACATGTGGTATCAAATTAACCAGCATGACCCTGTCTATGTTTTAGGCTATCAAATTTGGGCCCGGTCAAATCACCCTTCGTCACCACCCTCCACCCTCACACCCACATCCGTCAATTTTCAGAACCCCTGAGAACACTTTCCGCCTCCTTGTTGCTTTGAGCTACAGCCCTGGGTATCAATTCAACCAGCATGACCCTGTGAATGTTTTAGGCCATTGAATTTGCCCCCTGGACGAATTTGGGCTGCAGGTGAAGCCGAACCCCTGGTGAATTTAAGCCCCGAGCGAAGCTGGGTATTCTACTAGTACTAGATAATATAATATATTATTGTTTTAGATGAGGATGATAAAGGTGAAACAGTTAATACAGATGAATCCAGGGTCAAATTAAATACCGAAGTAAGTCATGGAAGTATATCTTTATTAAATAATAATAACATTCTTAAAGATATGTGTCATCTTCAAGAATTAAATTCAATTTAAATATTTTTAAGTGGGAGTTAAAGTGTCTTTAATTGAATGCATTCTGAATCCCTTGCAAACTACATTATTGTCATAGTTGAATCCTTAAATGAATAGCAATCCAAAAATCATTCAATTTTGTTCAGTATTTACAAAGATATGATGAATTATTATCGTTTACCGTTAAATTTTTGAATCTTGCAAGTATTTTAATCCATTTAAATCTCAGCCATCCGAAGATCTAGCAAGTTAATTATAGGCTTGTCATAATGCATCTATAAGCTGTGAAATATTAGTAGATATTGGCCCAAAAATGCATGATTGGGACTTAAGACTTTACATGTAGGCAGACATTTTACTGGCCAAATATTATAGATATATATATCTGAAGAGTGTATAGCATTTGTGTTAACTATTAATTTTATTTGTTTAAAACAGGATGTGGGTTCAGATGATGAAAAGGATGATGAAGCTACTCAACAAATTGGGGTAAATAGTTCTATTTATTATAATTTGTAGTATTGATTATAGATAATTTCTACTAGAACAGAGATAAATGTAGCAGTCTGGGTGAAACGTGTACATTTGACACTAGAAGTATCTACATAATATTTCTGTTTTATTGACTAGTTCTATGGGAATGACTTCTTTTTAACAATATTATGTATTATGTATTTAATATTACAGGACTTACAGATATTAGAAACATTAACCGGTTTACCTCTACCAGAAGATGAAATACTTTATGCTGTTCCTATGTGTGCTCCATATAACTCGTTAACAAATTACAAGTAAGCTATTATATTACTCCAGTAAGTTATTATATATATTACGGCAGTAGGATATATTACTCCAGTAGGATATCATATATATTACTCCCATAGGTTTAATATAGAAATATCAGTCAGGCAATGTTGTAACATTAGATAGTCAATAAGTAGTGTCAATTACAATTTGTGAAAGCTAATCATTTTCAAAATTGTCTAACAATTTTGCCCAATTAATAATCTTGGGCTCCATGTGTGGATACGGACATTTTATCAAATCTATTCCCTAAAATCAACCTCTTCACAATATAATGCTATGTTGTGATCAATTTTTCTGGAGGTGTGTAGGTAATTGTAAAGCGTGTATATAATTTGTTATGTGTCTTTCATTATGAATCAGGGAGATTGGTTAGTCTAACGTGAGCTTTAGATCATAAGTTCTGTCATTGAGTCAGGTTTCAAACCCAGGTTTGTATGTAATGAGGGGTGGGGCCGTCTGCCTAACCTTGTGGGTTTTATCCCACTGCTAAAGTTCTAAAAGACCCCTATGTGCAATCAACTTAATGAAATTTTAGTCCAGAAAAATCACATGGTTTGTTTCAAGTTGACATTAAACCCCATTTCTTTTGGGTCACTCTCATATTTTGAAGTAAATGTGATGTCACAATAAACTGAATTTTATTTTTAGATACAAAGTGAAAGCTTTACCTGGTAACACCAAAAGAGGAAAGGGTATGTAGCAGAATTTTATATGTAAAAATTACGTAACTGTGACAAATTTATATTCATTTTGTGATATATTGTTTTAGAATATGGAGGTTGCCATAGCATTTATATATCTTCTTGTCAATCTCAGTCATCTATAATAGAGACTATGAGCCTTAACTTCAAATACAAATTACATTAATAAAGTGTATGGCAAGCATTAATTTCTGGCTTTAGATATATGTGCACATCATTCTTCAGTTTCGGCTTCTCTCTCATACATGGTTGATTTTCAAGATTACTTTTAGTTTATACTTCAGTTTGACCTAAATATCATCTTGTATATGTACATGTTCTATTTCAGTCTAATATAATCTTATATATATATATATAAATGTTTATTTTAGTCCAATATAAATATAATCCGACACGCATGTAAATGTTTATTTCAGCAACTAAATCAGCATTAAATATGTTTATAACTGATAAAACAGCTACTCAAAGAGAAAAAGATCTCATCAAAATATTAAAAGTAAGTCTACAACTATTTATTTATTATATTCAAATAATTAAATATCTTATTACTAATTATACAAGTGATGCCCATTTGGTATATTTAGTCATACATACTATAGTATTCCCTGGGAGTTATTGTGTGAACTTACGTTTGATAGGGTGCTCCACACAGCCAAACATTACCTCTTATAACAGTTGAACTAACTTCAGTGAATGCACAACCTTAAATTCTGATGCCCCATTTTAGCGTATAGAATCACTTGGAAACAACAATGTTGTGAAAGGTGAATCTCTAGTAGGTATATCAGTCCAAAAATGGTTCAATTCTGTTCAGTATTTATAAAAATATGTGTAATTGAAATTTCATTGATCTATGCTGCTCTGTGTTATAAGTCTCCTGCCATTCTGTTGTCCAAAATCTGATAGAATCCAAGTGAGAAATTGAATATTTTAGCCAAAAATACAAATTGTGTATTGTTACTTTAAAGTGATCGTATTACTCCACAAATGAATGTGGAGGAAGCCCTATCATGGTTGTGTAGGGGGTTGGATGGCCAAATGGTTAGCATGTGCTCGCTGTATCAAAAGGCCTGTCATTGAGTCAACATGCGTGATTTCAAATCCCTGGTTGTACGTGACAAGGATTAGGGTCGCCTGTCCAACCTCAGGGGTTTTCTCCAGGTCCTCCGGTTTCCTCCCACTGCTAAAGACCCCTACATGCAAGCGAATTATCAAAATAAAATTAAACCATATGTTAGTCTCGAAATGACCGAGTTTGTGTTGAGTGGACGTTAAACCCAATTTCTCTCCCTCTCTTCTTATCATGGTTGTGAATGTGATAGCATAATTATCAATATTATTTGATTATTTTGTTATCATGGACACCCTATTTTTGAAAAACCATTATGATTCAAGATTAACATTGGGTGATAAATAAAATCTCAAACATCATTTTATACACATCTTAGTGGCAGACTTTTTGTTCATTCACTTTCACTGATGTCCTAAACAAAACCTCCATTTGATAAAACTGAAAATGTTCTTTATTATTTTAGGATGTTGATATATCAAGAAATTTACCAGGAAAAGTCAAATTACAAGCTCCAAATATTACAAAACGGAAAAAATAACTTGAATCAGTGCTATTTGATTTCAGTTATAAACTATGTGATATAGAAAGAAAAAATTCTAATTTTCAACATCTGGAGGCTGGATTTTATTCGAAGACTTTATTTCTGATTCATCTTGATGGTGTAATTTTATTGATTTATGTGATTAATAATTTATGAGATTAACGAAATTGCTGTTAAATGTGCTAATCATGTGAACCTGCATGTGGCTGATTCTCACTAAGGTTACTGTTATTTGTAGCTGACAAGTTTAAAAAGTAATAATTAACACATTGTAATTCAGCCAAAAGTACATTGAATTATGATACCATATAGTGACCAAGGGGTGATTGAGAATGGTCGAATGGTTAGCACGAGCGCGTTGTATCATAAGGTCTGTGATCGAGTCAACTGGTGTGGTTTCGATTCCCCAGTTGTACGTGACAAGGAGTAGGGTCACCTGTCCATCCTCGTGGGTTTTCTCCAGTTTCCTCCCACTGCTAAAGACCCCTACGCGCAAGCGAATTATTGAAATAAAATTAAACCATATGTTAGTCCCAAAATGACCTAGTTTGTGTTGAGTGGACGTTAAACCCCATTTCTCTCTCCGCTCTCAGTTGACTGAAGCCAACTATAATCAGCCGATTATGATCACCTCTTCAATCTAATTTACATAATACTGTTTGATTATCAATTATTATATTCTACACAACTCAGTAGAAAGATGTGTGGTAAAGAATACCAATTGATTCATCAATAGTGCTGAGATTCCACTTGGAAAAACTGCTGAAAAGCACTTAGTCATTTTAATGTATGCACACCTGTTTATGAATAATTCTAAATATCTTGTTAATTATTGGAGGTAAATCAATGGAATAAAATACTACTTGAATATACATGTATTTCATTTTATGTTAGGTAACTAGGCTACCAATAGCCACACAAAAATGTTGAAATGGAATTTGATAAAATGTTCCTCATAGTACACTGTATGGTGTATGCTTGTCTTCATTAGCCCAATCGGTGCAGCTTTCTTGCTTGTGTTTTCCCACGTGGTTTCCCCTTGTCAGTGATGCAGGACGGAGGGCCTGACAAGGACAGCTGCCTAGTCCTTCTGATGATAAGAAAAACTGTGGTCCCGTGTAAACATTGGAATGCACGTAAAAGATCCCTTGGCAGTTGGAATTCGATATAAGAGTAGGCGATAGTGCCGCTGCCCGGGCAAAATTTCTCTCATAGCACACTGTATGGCGTATGCCCGTCTTCATTAGCCCAGTATAGGAGCAGAACAGTAGGACGTTAAACCCCATTTCATTTCATTTCATTTCTTGCTTGTGTCCTGGGCTGCATTAAGCTTGCATATAGGGGCCCTTGCATCGACATTATAAAGGGGGCATAATCTGGTCATTGTCGGTCACACACAAATGTGATTTTGTATGTCAGTATGATAGATAGATTTGGCACAAATACAACATATGGTACAAAAAATGTTGTGAATTAATATTGGGACCCCTGGCTGCAGCCCACTTGTCCTCTCCCCCACTTTCATTCGGCCCTGGTTGTGCCACATCATCAATGCTCTAGATCAACACTCTACCTCCACCCCTTGCAACACACCATTTTTTCTCTCCTTATTGATTTGAAGAAGTTTAGTGGAAAAATTTCAATTTCCAGAAATAAGAAGGAAAAAATAACTTTGATTTTTATTAGGCATCATAAACACCATTTTCGTAGCCAAAACTGTTCATGCTCAGGAATGGAAGAAGGGCTGCAAGGCCATTTGCACTACCAAATCTTGATGGCATCCTGGAACCACCAAATCCTGACATTGGTGAATTAAAGCTGTTTAAAGATCCATAGCCTCTCTGTGGACTAATACCTAATGGAGAAGGTTGAGACCAACCAGACCCACCAAAATTTTTGGGTCCAAGTCCTGGAGTGCCATAGTTTTGTAGTCTGTTGACATTGTTGGGATTAAATCCTCCACCTAAAATAAATGAATTAATTGTCATTAACCTTGGATTATAACAGAGAACAAAGGGAATTAACCCTGTAATATATACTGAAAACTGGCAAATAATCTTATGATAAACTATTTTGAGAGATGATCATGAATAGAATGAAATGGGGTAAGTCTCATTTAAGTCTATTAGTCGTTTTAACACCGACAGGTTAAATTTATTTCTATGGTTACATGGGGGGGGGGGGGGGAATTTTGCCCAAACAGCGACATTTCTTCGTTTTCTTTTTCCAATTCCAATTGTCAATGGTTATTTTTATGTGCACACCAATCCGTACACAGATGCCAGGTTCACATTTTTGTTCCCATCCAAACAACTAGACACATTTCTGAAGAGTAAGAACCGGGCATCCAATTAGCGCAAAGTCCCAAACATTCTTTTTGGCTCAAACCTGAGACATTCTAGTCCACAGGTCAACAAGATAGTGCTTGATATAACTAGTGGGTGCTGTAAAGCCATATTATTATATTCAAGGTCTGAAATTCTGAAAGCTTTTGCAGGCATTGATCTGGATGGGGAGGCACTTTACGACATTGTAATGCCTTGAAATAGCTAGACTATAACCAAATAAATGGATTGCCAACTTGTTAAAATTACAGAAAGATGACAATATATTTTACTTACCCATTCCTGGCATTCCATATGGATATGCTGAGGATACCACAACCATAGAGATAACACATACAATAACCAAACTCCTCATTTTGTCAAAAGGTCTGAACTGACTGTTAAGAGACACTGATTAAAATATTTTCTCTTACCTATATTTATACTCAACCAGTTACTAATATTATGTCATCTTAAAGGGACTCTTTCTCAGACATTTAGATAAATAGAGAATCTCCTACCAGTCTTTTTTGATATAAAAAAAAAAACGAGTAGTAGATTTTATTTATCACCCAATCCCTTCTTACATGCACAAATAAAATAGATAAATATAATTCTTTGCGGTAGATTTCACTTTTACTGAATATTACAGCGTAGTGATACATAATTTTTTGACAGCAATTCAACCATTGCAAAGTCCTTTATATTGACCCAATGTTTCCACTTTCCATCAAGGTCAATTGGATAACAATAGTTCCTTTTTAATAAAAAAAAGATACTTTTAATAAGAAATGAACTGTTCTTTGAAAATAAAAAAAAGTAGTTCCTTTTCAACTGACCAATCAAATTCATGTAAAGCGATATCTCCTAAGGAGATAGATTATGAAATATGTCACACAAGGGATATCTACTGTAGAATGTATTATTGGGTGATAAAATTTATTAGATCAAACTTGAAATATCAAAACCAAACAGAAATAAGCCCAAAATAGAATATGCTAGAACATGTTTCACTTAATTACAGTTCAAGCTTTGTAGTCGCACTTTGGTTTCTAAAATTCTACAGCTATCATTTAAATATTTCCAATCAGATCACATTTTGTCATAAGAAAAATGTGTCAAATTACCCTATTCTGAGAGAAGTTACCAGTTTTTGAAATATTGATGATATAGTCTTGATTGTCAATTACCATTGTTACAATAATAAACAAAATCGCGATCATCCATTTTTAAATTAAATTATTAAACGGTGATCATGTTTCAATTCATTCAAAATCAAAACCATGGCCAAGAGAGTTGATTTTGGGCTTACCATGTTAATAAATGTCTAATTAATAATTTATATAGCATCTGATGCCAAAAGAAAGACCTGTAAAAGGCAAACCTAGCACTTAGTTATAATGCACTTTTAAAACACTACTAGGAATTTTGGGTCTACCTCTTTAATATTATCATCTGATATTGTGTGTTAAATGCGTGATGTTATAAAATATTCCTGAAATACAGGTTACTTGTGCTCATTATAGAAATGATTTGATTGATTGACTGAACTTTAGTTTTTAAATATTTTAATATAACATGAAACTCCTATGGAAATATCATGAAATCGTCATACAGGTTTATATAATTTTATTAAAGGCACTGTCCCGGATATATTTTCGTAAATGAAATGGAATAGGGTTTAACGTCCTACTGTTCTGTACTGACTGGGCTAATGAAGAGAGAGATTGAAATGGGATTAAACGTCCACTCGACACAAACCAGGTCATTTCGGGATTAACATTATGGTTCTATTTTATTTCAATGATTCACTTGCCCGTAGGGATCTTTAGCAGTGGGAGGAAACCAGAGGACACAGGGAAAACCCACGAGGTTGGACAGGCGACCCTGGTCCTTGTCACATACAAGCGGGTAATCGAAACCTAGTCACTTGACTCAATGACAGACCTTATGATCTAACACGCACGCGTTAACCACTTCGGCCACCCAACCTCCCAGGCTAACGAAGGCAGGTTCGTGAATAAAACTGATTAGGAACATGTGAAAGGCTCCTAGGCACCTAAACACTCTTAAGTTTTGTGAGAATTTTTCGAAAACAGGAATTATGGCTGGTGATATTAAGGTCTGGGACTGTTCCTTTAATACATTGATAACCTATTGATAGGTTAAGCCCATTGAAAAATGGAATTTATTCTTTCTGTCTGCATGTCCTGAAAACCACATCAAAATCAGAACTCACATTTGGGTAATATTTTCCAGTCACATATTCTGAAGTAATCTGTCACTTTGGTCAGTTAGCATATCAGAAATTTGAATGTTAAGACTTATTTGCATAAAAAAAGATGTTAACATGTCAGCTTTTTTCTCTGTTGTAAAAACAGGTTTTTCTTAATTCATCAAGTAAATATACTTATATACTATTCAAAAAAAGTAGGGGATATTTGATTTTGGGGGCATAATACTAAAATATGCAAATGACTACGAAAAAAGTCACTATAGAACCTAACAGAAGAAACATTTCCAGTTACATGTGACGCCCAAACGCACCAAAAGCTACCGCATGGAATGCAGGTGATGCTTGGGATCATCATGGGGGTCCAACCCAAGATTTGCACGACTCTGACTTTGAATGTTACAGTCATTGTGGCATTGAATTCCAGGGTGGAAACATCAGTTTAATTGTTTTAGTGACCAGAAAACAAATTTTGATATGCGTCGGCTTACCCAAAATGAAAGGTTACGTGCCCTTGGCATGCTACAGATCGGCACAACACAGGCGGTTGTGGCGCGGACGATGAATGTTTCTCAGTCTGTCATAAGCAGGCTATGGTCCAGATACCGTGATACACAATCTGTACAGGACAGACCACGCTCAGGTCGACCAAGGGCGACAACTCAAGCCCAGGATCGATTTATCCGTACCTTGGCCTTGAGAAATCGTGTCATCACAGCAAATCAGATCAGCGCTCGTCTTCAAACAGACACTGGTGTGAGAGTGAGTGGCCAGACGATTCGGAATCGACTGCATAGGGGTCCACTTGGCGCCCGACGTCCTCGCGTGATCTCTTGTTTGAGAGATCATCACATTCAGGCAAGACGTCGTTGGTGTAGGGATCGTCAACACTGGGATAATCGACGCTGGAGCAATGTGATGTTTTCAGATGAGTCAAGGTTCACTGTTGATTTTTTGGACAGACGTAGGAGGGTGTGGCGTCGTCAAAACGAGCGCTTCCAAGACGTTAACGTCATCAGACATGATCGATTTGGGGGTGGTTCTGTTATGGTGTGGGGAGGCATCACTGTTGCTGGAAGAACGGCTTTACATGTTGTTGCAGGGCGTGTTACAGGCCAGTACTACCGGGACAACATCTTGGCAGTCCATGTTGTGCCGTTCGCACGACGTCATGGCCGCCGTTTCATCTTCCAGGATGACAACGCAAGATGTCACAGGGCCAGGATCGTTACAGGTTACCTCCAACAACAGAACATCACCACATTACCTTGGCCAGCACTGAGTCCCGACCTCTCCCCCATCGAGCATGTCTGGGACATGCTTGGACAGAGGTTTCGTCAACGTCAACAACGTCCTGCCAATGTCCAAGAACTTGCTGCTGCGTTGCAACAGGAATGGGACAATCTGGACCAAAATGACCTTAGACGTCTCATTAGGAGTATGCCACGTCGGATCAATGCTTGTTTGGCAAACAGAGGAGGATTTACCTGTTACTGACTTGGTTGTGATGCTGTGGTAACTTTGCTGTTTGACCCCGGGTATCATTTTACCCTTATAATGGTCAGTCTGTGCCTTACTTAGTCTAACGATCATTTGGAATAAATCGATGAATGTGAACTTCATTTCATTTTGTCATTTGTTTCTTCGTCAGTTTCATTAGGTGACTTTAATAACACTTAAAAATCAAATATCCCCTACTTTTTTTGAATAGTATATTTCCGTAACATATCTGAATGCAGTAACTTAACATAAACCCTGGTTCAAAATAATCATTATTATGCTAAAACAATATCTAGGGTTCCGAACCCCTCATAACGAGATTGATGCTACTATCCAGGCAGTGCCGGCACCAGGGGGGACAAGGGGGGACATTTGCCCCCCCATTAATCTGGTCTGCCCTCTGTTTGATAATTTTAGAAAATAAAAAAAAGTATTTGTGATATGTTTCGGTAATCAATACCTTCTATAGTGAAGAAATCCCATATCCCCATTCAGTCATTAACTTGCATGTTGTAGAGCATTTCCGACAGTCTATTTTTCAAAATTTTCTTGGCGAGGTCCCCAATGGACTCGCTACTTTGGCGCTCATAAGGTGAATTCGTTAAGCTTCGCAAGTCCGTTCGTTTGACATTTTGTTCTCTAGTCGGATAAACTAGTGATGACGAACGGTATCTGGGCAGATCTATGTATCTCAACGATCGTTGCCTGACGGAATACTGTCAGACAGCATTTCAGGCAGTAGGACTCCCTACTTTGACCCTTGTGAGTGGGCTTCGTCGTGATTCGCAAGTCCGTTCATTTGACACTTTACCTCATCGATCAGTGCCTGAAATACTGCCAGGCTGCATTTCCGGCAACCTGTTTTTCAAAATTTTCTGGGGAGGCCCCCTACCCCTAGTTGAAGCTCGTGCCTTTGCCCCCTTAACCTTGGACTTTGCCCCAGCTTTGCCCCTCCAATCACCGACGGCTGGCGCCGCCACTGTATCCAGGAGGTTCCAGATTTAATTCTGTTGTTAGTGGTGCACCACGAGGTCTTGGTAAGGAAAACCGTCAACTATATTAGCAGCATATTAAAGACCCCTCGGCAGTGGGAAAAAAAAAGAAGAGTAGGCCACAGCCCCGCTGTCAAGGCAAAATATCCTTCATAGCACACTACTAGTGCTGACACAATATATCGTTAAATCGATGTATCACATATTGAATCGTGAGACACTGAATCGATGTGTCACGATTCCATTTTTTATGATTTTTTTGGGTCGCTTCAGTAAGTATCCTGTCACTTTTTATTATCCATGTCACACACTATCCATAGGTACACAAACACTCTTAAATTATTTTGGTCCATATCAATATCGTGTTATAGAAGAGTTTTATTTCTTTGACATCAGCAGGACTAAAATTGGTAAATATTGACCTGGTTATCGTGATATGAATCGTATCGTAGCACCTGAATCACAATACGCATTGTATTGTGACTACAGTGGCAATTCCCAGCACTACACTACATGGCACATATTTTTCTTTGTTAGCACATTTGATGCAGAAAAGTAGGACATTAAAAAAACCCATTTCATTTCTTAACGAGAGACTGGACAATCAGTGTAACAGGTTAAGATGATGATATAAGACAATGAATATAAACCTACCATACCTAACATATCATATGGTTCAATTTTTTGGACCGGGAACTGGTCGCTATAACCGCTACTCGTCTTGTTCCTCTTGGGGTGATGCTCCTCGAAAAAGCCTGAGGTTCCATCAATTCAAGTCTGATCGATATGGAAATTGACATGCTTCTTCTTTAAACAATTCGGCATCGACTTGGTGAATTGGATTTTTGAATTTCATCCAATAACGGTCAGTTCCTGGTCCATAGTACAATCATACTTTTAATTTCAATAATTCGCTTGCGGTGGGAGGAAACCTTAAGACCCATAAAACCCCCACGAGGTTGGACATGTCTATCTATTCGCATTGTCACATACAAATGTGGGCTCAAAACCACTCCCATTTGACTCAAGGACAGACATTATGATGTAACACACACATGTTGAACCATTCAGCCTCCCATTCCCCCTACACCATACAGTATGGTATGAGGGAAGTTGAGCACAGACAACTGCCAAGGACCTACTCTTAATTTGAATTCCAACTGTCAAGAGTTCTTATAAGAGGGGGTAATATATAATAAAACAAATTCAGTAAAGGTAAGAATTTACTATTGTATTATTTGTGATTAGTAAAAATTATTGATAATAAAATAATAAATCTTCTCTTAAACAAAGTATATTTGTGTGCGTTTTTCAAATTTAAATAATTTCCTAAAATTATAAAAAAAAGAAAATTAAAAATCAGAATGCCCAATCCCACTCAAAAGACCAGAATAAAATGTATATAATCTCTCTCTTTTCTTTCAAAAATCAAAGAAAGAACAAGTTAATTTAACCAGTCCTATATAGGTTTTCCTGAACTTTATGTATAAGTAGAATATTTTACTATTAAATTATATTATATGTATTGTTTAATGGTCGAGAGCGAGACATTAAGTAATATATTGTAACAACATGAGGGGCGTAGGCCCGAATGTTTTTACAATATATTACGCAATGTCGTAAGCTCGAGACCATTAAACATCTTAAAATACTGACACTCAGCACAAGCTTTTACGTCACATAAGTCCAATATCTCACTGGTTTGAATAAAGTACTATTGGCAAGTTGCCCGTACGATTATTTGAAATAATGGTACGCCAACATCAAAGGGTGACGTCACATCTGTATTTTAAATAATTTTAATCTCTTTCATCCACTTTTAAACAGTCATATCCAAACCCTTTACACATACATGCAGCTACCTTTAACTGTACAAAATTTTCACACTCAACCATATCAAAACACTCAACACATAAACAGCTTAAAGGAGGCAAGTCGCTAACTCAAGATCATCTTCAACATCCCTGGACCCAAACACATTTTATTGGTCAATTTAAATCAACATTGATCTTACCATGAAAAGATGGGCTTCTGATATCCAATATTTAAGACAAAATGAAAATTTTAATATTGGCACAATGCTTTTAAGCAGCATTTGTGATGAAGCCACTTGATGAAAGAGGCTAAATATATCCCACATGAGAACACTATCGGTGTAGACTGGAATAACCAGGCACTAATGACTGCCATACAATTTGGATTCTTCTCATATTTTGCCGAACATAACTAATTAGAAATTACAGTAAAATCTGAAACGATTGAATGTAAATCAGTTTATATACATTCATATCATATTATTGTATGCATTGCAGCCCATTTGTGTCCATTTCTAGGTGCCAAAGAATAGCAATTTAGCTCCATTAAATATTGCACAAGTTTTTAAGAGTGTGAATGTGACCTAAAAATCAGTTACTTGTAGCGTTCATATATGCACAGATACATTTTATTTTCTGCATAGCAATCCCATAGTTAATCCCAATTCACTTTCTCAGCCAACACTGGGAATGAACCAGAGACCTTCAGGCTAGCGAGTCACTGTGGTTCCCCCATCTTGTATTAAAAAACTTCAGACATTCGGAATAGGTCATCAGTATCACACCATTAACAGGAAAAGCACGCAGACTGATCATTGATGCTCCACGAAAAAAAACAGCCATGCCTTCACCACGATAACTTTTTGCAACGCAATCAAAGAATCCTTTAAAATTTTTATGTTCAGTGTCCGCTTGCACACGGCTTTTAACAACGTCCAATGGGAGGATAATTAACCAGCTAACAACTCCAGAAATCCCTCCACTTAAAAAATTAACCATCTGTGACGGAATGCTTGGAACTACAAAACTAATATTGCACCGTAGATATTCGTACAATGTAAAATAGATTCCTGAGGAAGGCAAATCACGAAACAGCTGCGTACCAAAACCCCGATATATACCAGTTATTCCACGTTTACGTAATATATCTGTAAAGGCAGCTACTGGACCACTGTAATATCTTGACGATGCTGGACCTGCAATGTTTAACAAACTCATGACACATGAAACTTTGTTTTGTATAATAACCTAATGGAGAATTCATAGCTCGTTCCAGTGTGTAGTCATTTAGATAAGAATATTTACAACATAAACAAGCCAGCATCATCTATTAAGTGGTAGTGTTGTGTTGGGATCGATCACTACCTTCTAGATGCCTTCTATATATCAGCACGTGGATGGACGGTCATATTCATATCTCAAACCCCCCTATATATTAACACAAGACATGTTCGTACTTCAAGCAAGCACACTCCGGAGTATGTGTGTCTGTTTTTATTAACTTCAATCTATATATTACAGTGAAGAGTCGACAGGGGCAGATAACTCCTGTCTCACATGACTTATATTACAATATTGATCATCCAGTAGAGAGAGGATCAATACGACAGTAGCTAAAATCTTTTTAATCCACTTGAAACCAAGCCAGTAGATTATCTACCATTAATATTTTGATTTTGTTTTTCTCTTAATGTTAAATAATCAATATGGCCACATTTCTATTAAGCTATGAAATATTATATATTTTTCGATAAATGCACAATGACGATAAGTACCTTTAAAGTTAGGCAGTAAATAAAATGTCAACATGAAGTCTATTATAGAAACTTCCTTTTATTTCTGTATCAATGAGTAATTGTTCTCAAACATAAGATGTCACATTTGTAAGGTATCTGTTTCTAGCATAACAAGGAACTTTCTCTTTTTTGTTATTTTAACTAATTGAAACAAAAAAAAAAATATACAGGGGGCTAAAACGACCATTTATTCAATAGTCAAAAGGCTTATCATATAGTTGCATTGTTTTCACAATTATGTTATAGACAAAGTTGATTATGATATATTTATCACTCAATAGCACATTCTACAGTAGATATCGCTAGTGTGATAACTTTCATAATCTACTGAGTGATATCTCCTAAAGAGATATCGCTTTACATGAAATAAAATCTATACCAAAGAATTATATTCATTTATTTATGCGTGTAAAATATTCAAAGGTTGACGTGTTTTTTTTCAAAATAACTATTTGAACGCATTTGTATTGCTCTCAATTATGAGAAAGTTGTAGCATTTCAATGGTAAAAGTCTAACATGCTCAGGAAGAGAATTCAATACCCCTAATTCAAATCAGCTAATATTTAAAATAAACCAACCCGTTTTTCTAGGAATCTGAGACTGTAAAACCACTTTAATAACATCTATAGGACATGCTATAACAAGCTGAGCTAATCCTGCCATGGTGCCAGCTACATACATTGAAAGGTAACTTGGTCTGCATTCTTCTCCTTCATTCCATAAACTTATTACTTTACCATACACACCAAAATATACAGCATTTACACCGGCATACGATATCAGCGGCCATGACAACCCACGAAATAATCCTTTACTCTGAAATAAATGAAATGAAATGAGGTTTCTTGTTCTACTCCTACCCAATCTGGTTAAAACACAGATCCTATTTCGTTTTTATAGTTCAAAATTTCGTTTTACTTGTCTTTACTACACTTGGATCTGGAAGAGTTGTTATTTAACTCGTGTTCTGAATGGTGTTAGGGATAACACAATGAAACGGTTTGTTACGGCGAGCTTTAGGCGTGTTTTGCACGAAACTGTGGGTAATCCACTAGTAACATCAATGCTGATTGGTTAATCAAATGTCTGACATCATAGGGTCATAAGTCGGTCTTTTGACCCCTGACGTGACTATCGCTAAAACTTGTCAGATCTTCATGTAGTGTAGGCCATCGAAAGTATAAAAAAAACGAAACGAAATATAGATCTGTATTTTAATCAGATGACTCCGACCGGACCCTGAAATAAACAGTATTACCAAAATTCATCTCTGTAGTACTATTAGGGCGAGATTTGTGCAACAAAACACATATGTATAATAATAATATGACTGATTAATTATTCTCCATTGTCAAATATTAGCTAGGGTATGAGTTTATTTAAAAATACAAATTAAATTGCTTATGAATCCAAGCGTAGAAAAACACTAGAGATGTGCGCGATTGTTAGACACCATGAAAATTTAAGAGGGAGAAGATGTGGCAATTTCCATCAGCAGGCTTGCTGAGTCTCTGCATTGAAGAATGACTTTATTATAATCTATGCGTGTATCGTATGTATTCAGAGCTTAATATAAAACTATAATCAAGAAACTCTTGTGTTTGTTGTTCAATTTAAGATGCAATATATTCAATCACAATGTGTAGTCGTCATTAATGTGAAATGTCAGATTGACATTTAAAGATACTTACTTACCAGTTCAAAAATTTCAAATGAGACCCGAGACAATACTAGATGATCAAGGGCTGTTTTAAAATATGTAGGAAGAAATGATGCTTCGGTTATATGCCAGATGTGGCGACCGGTTTTCGCGTCTTTCGCTCTCAACATCTGACAGACAAACCATAGTGCTATATATCAGGTGAACAATAACTCTAATCAAAGTTATTATATAAACACATTACGGGGGATTTTATTTTTTCAGTTACTTACTCCAATTGGTGTACAGACATTTCAATAACAGCATTCCGTTCTGTTATACATAAAATACTGCAAAATGTTTTGAAAGTTTCTGATTTATATGAATGAATCTAAATAATAAAGTTAAAGATATGTTCATGCTGTCCTCATGGATGTACAACCATATCTTTATATATTTATGGAGTCATCAACTGAATATAGGCCTACAGAACAAAACTAAATCTAGTTATATCACTGTATAATAAAATTCCTGAACTAACAAAGACAGAGGTGTCAATAAGTGTGACCATATAAAAATTGGTCAATTTTCAGAGTTGTCTCAAAGCTTGACTGGAGTCCATAATATTTAGAATCAAAGTCACATGTCCAGATACAATTATTTCCACTAAAACCTACTAAATACATGTTTTATCATTAAAAAATATTTATATATATAATAAACTTCTTGCCAAACATATTCACTTTATATTGAACATTTGTATACAAGCTTTTGTATTTGTATTCACCCATACAAAAATGAAATGAAATGAAATGAAATGAAATGAAGTGAAATGGGGTTTAACGTCCTACTGTTCTGCTCCGACTGGGGTAATCAAGACAGGCATATGCCATACAGTGTTCTGTGCTATGAGGGAAATTTTGCAAGGGCAGCGGCACTATGGCCTACTCTTATATGGATTTTCAACTGCCAAGGGATCTTTTACGTGCACGCCAATGTATACACAGGACCTCGTTTTTTTGCCCCCATCCAAACGACTAGACAGCTATCCTTGTCGGGCACTCTGTCCTGCACCACTGACAAGCGGAAACCACACCGGAAAATCAGGATGAACTATCTCAGCCAATGCAGTTATCGAACACGCGTCCTCCAGCCCACATAGCCACTATGGCTCCCTAACTCATAGACAACCATAAATAAATCACAGGTTGAAACAGATAATGCATCATCTGTGAATCAGTTGATAGTAAAGATCATGACTAAAATATTAATATTACAGAATAATTCAGAACCCAAAAGGTTAAAGGGGAAACTTACTAATCCCTGGTTTTTAACTGTTTTAATACAAGAGAGTACACTGGGATACTGTTGCCCTTTCAACTGGGTCTGTAGTTGAACCTTTAAATAAATGAAATATGGTCAGGAATCAGGATAACACAACACCCCACACAAATACGGCAATGATACAACATGCCTTTAAACACATTATTACAGAGTCTTGTATTCACTGCTTCATCACTCTCACTAAATCTGAATCAAAAATAGGAAATGCGCAGAATCGAAATAAGTAAAAATATTCACCTAATACACATCTACACCGAGTTTAAAAATTCTACATAATCGGATGAATGTAAAGACTAGAAAAGGCTAGAGTAATCTTGTACCCATTTTTCTCTTTATCTTACCTTAACTGTATCAAATGGATGACCAATAATTATACCACAACTTCCTAAAATATAATGAAGTAAGAATTTATTGAATATCTGTTATTCTCAAAATTTGTTTTCGGCTCAGTGGTGCTACTACAAACTACAGATCTTCGAGACATGAAATTTATTCTTATTCTTGATTTAAACTGAATAATAAGCCCACATTAAGGTTATTTAATACCATTGGACCTGATGTTTCTATTGCAATGTGGGAGTTGGATGGCCGCATAGTTAGCGCGTGCGCGCTTTATCATAAGGTCTGTCATTGAATCAACTGGCGTGGTTTCAATTCCCTGCTTGTACGTGACAAGGAGTAGGGTAGCCTGTCCAACATCATGGGTTTTCTCCGGGTCCTCCGGTTTCCTCCCACTGCTGAACCATATGTTAGTCCCAAAATGACCTAGTTTGTGTTGAGTAAAAAATTAACCCTCATTTCTATCTCTCTCTATTGCAATGCATGCACTACTCACATCTGAAAGCAGGCTGTCCAGAAAACTATGGATTTTAATATCAATTTGTGTCTCCTTGCCCAGCTCCAACTTTCCAAAAGATTTTGTTGGGTTGATTGAAGGCTTTAAAGCACATGGGCCACTACAAGCCCACGCCACTTTATAGGCTTAGTATATGGGAACAAAATTTTCTGAGAATAGGTTTTTGGCCTGAGAGTGGAGAAGCTACTCTCCCTTAATGATAAAGGTTGTCTAACCTCCTACTGCACCTGCTACTAAATCATGAACAACATTTGGTGTAGGCATTTTACTTCTTAATTTCCTTTAAATAAAAAAAAAAATATAGTTTTGTACAAATATTATCGGTGAATTAAGTAAGATTAGATAATTAAAGAGCTGAAAGTTCTCGCTATAATAGTTAAAAAAAAATAGATGATGAAACAAGCCAACAGTGAGGCTGATGTCCCCCGCCGAAATAGGAAAATAATTAGAGGACACATATAAATTTATCACAAATTATCTTTTACAAAGTATTGAACAATCAAACAGTATATCTTTACTTATAGTCTAAGCATACAATGTTTTTGATGGAATAATTATAGCATATTAAGGGGAAAACATGCTCTATGCCTACAGATCTAGAGTTTGGTTGTATCAACGGGTCTATTTTCCATCTTGCTGCAAGTTGTGCAAAGTTCACTGTTTTCTTTCTGTCATTAAATGTCAATTCATTATTGCATACTACATATTTAATTAATTTATAATAGTTTCTTTTTCAATTTGTTTTTTCCATTTATTTGTTTATTTACCTTGCCTATATTCATTGTATTGGATTGTATTGGAATTGCTCAATTGATGCTTTTATCAATACCTGGTTATAATATTATGACATGTAATGTGGCAGACTTACCATAAGCGGAACGGACAGACAGACAAACAGACAGACGGACGAACCCATTTTAATAGTTCCCTGCTTTCTTCGAAAGGCGGGGGACAATCAAAGTAGGAGAGTTATTGTTTTCCAAAGTCTCGACCAATCAAATTGCGTATCGCTCTGCTTACCCTGAGCAGAAAATGCTCATTATCAAACTTAGTCAAGGTATTACTGTAATGAAACTATACACCAAGTTTCATCAATCTCACTTAATTAGAACTAAAGTTATCGTGTCCCAAAGCATCAACCAATCAAATTGCTTATCTCTGCTTACCCTAAGCGGAAAATGCTCATCTTCGAACTCCATCAAGGCATTGACCTAATCAACACATACACCAAGTTTGAACATTCTAGCTCAATTAGGAAGAGAGTTATCGTGCCCCAAAGTATCAACCAATCAAATTGCTTATCTCTGCTTACCCTAAGCGGAAAATGCTCATCTTCGAACTCCATCAAGGCATTGACCTAATAAACACATACACCAAGTTTGAACATTCTAGCTCAATTAAAAGTTATTGTGTCCCAAAGCATCAACCAATCAAATTGCTTATCTCTGCTTACCCTAAGCGGAAAATGCTCATCTTCGAACTCCATCAAGGCATTGACCTAATCAACACATACACCAAGTTTGAACATTCTAGCCCAATTAGGAAGAGAGTTATCGTGTCCCAAAGCATCAACCAATCAAATTGCTTATCTCTGCTTACCCTAAGTGGAAAATGCTCATCTTCGAACTCCATCAAGGCATTGACCTAATAAACACATACACCAAGTTTGAACATTCTAGCTCAATTAGGAAGAGAGTTATTGTGTCCCAAAAAGTGTGACGGACAGACAGACGGACAGACGGACAGACAGACGGACGAACCCATTTTAATAGTCCCCTGCTTTCTTCGAAAGGCGGGGGACAAAAAGAATATGCTGAAAATTTCAGTCAAATTGCTTCACTCTGAACTGAGATATTAGCGATTTAATTTTAGGCTAGCCTCGTTTGTCATTACTATTAACATAGGTATGATAATTAACTAGTCTCAATTATCCATTTTTACGTTAAATTGTCCCATCACAAAATGTATTCAAATCCTCTAAATATTGCAGGCTAACGATGGCATCAAGAGTTGATTATGGTCTGAATAAGTTCATTAATGTCTAATTAATAATTAAGATAAAATTTCAGGCCTAAAGAAAAACCTGCAATAGGCAGATTTAGCTTTTGTAATGTATGTTTAAAATATTGAAATAAAGGGCAAATAAGTAGGCTAACACAGCCTTGTGTACATAAATTGCCTAACTATACTGTACCATACATCACAAGAATCTGACCTTCTATCCGTATATATACACCATACTCAACTAGACAATATGGTGTATGCAATGCATATATATGATTAGAAGGTCAGATGCCTGTGCATACATATACTACTTGAAATACACTTGTCATATGTTTTAAACACAATTACCACCAATGAAATTACATTCAATAATAATTCTAATTACATTGTAGGCCAGAACAGATATTGATATTAAAAACAAGATTATAAGAAAGCGGATTGTTCTTTAAAGATACATTAGTTAAGAGCTAAATCTTCCTATTGCAAATCTTTCTTTAGGCTTCAGATGTTATAGAAATTATTAATTAGACATTTATTTACATGACAAGCTCAAAATCAACTCTGTATATAGACCCTCAGATGGCTTGGATACAGCTTGGATTTAAACAGTCGTCCATTTAATAATTAATTCAATAAATGGCTGACCAAGCTAATGTTTACCGTTAGTCACTGACTTCACTACCAACTCTTTATTAAACTCTTAACTAATATATATTGAAAATTGTGCATTCTGTTTGCTAAAATGAGTTTATCTGAGTTTTAAGAATTTTTTTCATCAAATATCGGATACTGTTCGATAACATTCGTTATTTAAAACATTATGTAGATTTTTGATATTATGTGGCACAAAAAATATCAACTGAAAATAACCCTACGTCGATACAATTTATTACATAATACAATACAAATTATAATACAATAATAATAATTAATATTAATATTACGGTTAGTCGCCCGCATGCAGGCTACTTGTCCATAAGTTCAGAATGACCTCGTCATGACGGGCGATAGAACGGCTATAAAAACTAACCCACACCTTTAAGAACCCCTATTTCAAAACAATCAGTAATCAGTTCATTAAAATCACGAAATCCTAAACAACCTTACATCTACTTGCAATATAGGCTATAATGACAGAGCATGAGTTCTGCAGATTTGCGGATAGTTATCTTCAATCGTAGCTCTTCGTCTATTTCCGAATCAATTCACAACCGTGGTATCTGTGCTGTTGGCGCGTCGCCATGTGAGCCACAGTTGGTCAATCGATTTACAAATCGCTGGCTCACTAACCTGGAGGTCTGGACTGCGATCTCGGTGTTAGTCAAGAATGTTTGGTGTGTTTTCCCCTTGTCAGTGGTACAGATCCCGGCATTGAGCAGCTTCCATTCCTTCAGATAGAACAAAAATTGAGGTCGTGTGCCTACACGTTGGAATTTGAACTAACGACTAAGGTAGCGTCGCTGTCAGGCCAAGTTTTCCATGTGCACTATGAATTATGAATGATATAAGCTACGTAAGACCACAAGGGATATTCAAATGAAAAAAAAAAAAGAAATCATTCTGATTATCTCCATAACTCAACCAAATTAAATAGGCAGAATAGAAAATAAATAATTCAATATTGGCCCATTTCAATCATTATCGATGTCGTTATCTTACCGCTAAATATTTCGAATTGCAATTGTCGGGGGGTTCTCTTCGTGTACACCTGACCTCTGTTTTTGCTTTTTATTCCTATCCGAACGGTTAGAAGTTATTTGCCAGACCAAGGGTAAATAAAATGTTGCAAATACTGTATAACTCTTCATAGGTAAACTGGTCTCCCTTTAACTTTAACCGTTTGAGCAGTCCAAAGTTATACACCCTAATAAAAGTAACTGGCTATACGCATTTCTTAAATTAATAATTTCAATTTCTCACAGAAGGTAAGGTTAAAAATAGAAATTAACAAATTTTCGTTCAATGTCCATATATGAATATCCATATCTATTTTCATCTTGTCGAAACAATATAAATGGTCTCATAATATTCGACTGTCTTCATGTTCCCCACGGATTATGTGTTTCACAATCCCCGGTACGCCACCCGCCAACAGAGTGGGTTGGGTGGTCGAGTGATCTAAAGCGTGCGTTTTACAACAGAGTTATGTCATTGGGTCGAGTAACGTGGTTTCGAACCCAAGCATGTACATGACAAGGAGTAGTCTAAGGTCACCTGCCCCATCTCCTGGGTTTTCTCAGGACCACCACCCCCTCCCCCGCCCTCCCTCACTGCATACTACAGATCCATACGTACATACAAATTATTTAAATAAAATTGTGTCATCACATTATGCTAGTCACAAGATGACCCAGTGTGTGCCGAATGTGCTTAATCTCTCTCTTTCTCTCCCTCTCTGCGAATTTTTTAAATAAAATTGTATCATCACATTATATTTGCCCCGATATGACCCAGTTTGTCTCGAATGGGCGTTAAGAAGTCAAGACAGGGTTGGAAATAGAACATAGTGTAAAAGTACACAGATTTGTGTTTAATGTTTATTTCTGATTCCATAATAATTTTATAATAGTTGAAATCCATACCCACATAATTTTATAATCATACTATAATAATAGTTCTATAATAATTCAACAATAGTTCTATAATAATTCTATAATAATTCAACAATAGTTCTATACTACACCTATAATGATGCTATAATAATCCTATGATAATTCTATAATAATCCTATAATAATAGTTCTATAATAAACATATAATGATGCAATAATCCTATGATAATTCTATAATAATCCTATAATAATAGTTCTATAATAAACCTATGATAATTCTATAATAATCCTAAAATAATGCTATAATAGTTGACACCCATTCCCTTGGGTAGTTGTTACCATAGAAACTATTGATGGGTGCCATTTATAGACAGGCATCAATAAATCATTATAAATAGTACAATGTCGGGAATGTATATCCGAGACCGAAATAGGGTTTCACTAGATTACCTTCTATTGATAAACAAACTTCACAATTTCAGCGGCGGAAACATACATACCAACCGACTAATTGCAAATAAAAGATGATGATCTGGTTTATAAATTAACATTTGGTTTAAATAGACCCACCATTTACGGCTACACGAGAAAATTGGGGGGGGGGGGGGTACTTCAAGTATGCCTTAGGCAGACTTATGTCCAGAATAACTTACGGTCTGAAAGTCGGGGCAGCTTTGGATATATACAGGGGAATTTAGGGTTATTCTTCTGAAAGATTTTTCTTTAAACCTAAAACGGGTTATTCTTCTAGGGTAGGGTTTTTTCCATAAGAAAACGTGATATAAGGTTTTTCTAATTTGTATTCTGGGATATTCTCAATTTGCGTAAAGCACGGGTTATGCTGGGGACAGAAAAACTTAAGAAAATAATCCGATAAAAAGAAAAACCGAGGTCGGCAGGCTGAGGTTTTTCTGTCAAGCATTTTTTCAGAAGTCTTTCTTCCCCAGCATAACCGAAGTCTTGCTTATAAACAGCCTATGTTTACAATGGTTTACATGTACGCAAAATTGAGCCAGAGCATCCGTGTCTGATTATAAATCAATATTCTGTGCCCTATTATATACCAAACAACCCACCCCACCCCCAATGTACAGTATTACCTGAACCCCAATATTTGTCAAACCCTGATAATTTAGATCACTACCTCATGAATACGTGTATGGACTGTATACTGTTTGAATGGCATTTAGTAATTGAACACATTAAAATAAACACAACAGTTCTATGGATAACAATTACTATATTTAATTAAAGCTACGTTTCAACAATGATTCTCTTGTCGTTATCAAGCACAATACTGATACAGACAGAAGGAGTGAAATATATATACTATGTACAATCAAAACATTCAATGAAACCATAAATTAGGAGAACAGTTAGTTGTTAGTTGTGTTTTACGTCCGCTTCCACCGAGGTGATATCGCAGACAATGACGTGTTATGTGTGCAAGGTGCATTAATTTACAATGTGATTAGTGAGAAATAATAGGATGATTAGGTTTTCATATATATGTACATAGGACAATAAACAACAGTAGGATAACATGTGCAAAGGACGAAACAGGTGCCAGTAGACATTTACAAACATGCGATTTGACGGAACAGACATGGACAAAGACGGACATTTTCACAGACATAGACATATTATGTACATATATATATATTTTGGGTCGTTTGGGTTGGTCTGGTCGTTCTGTCCGGTAGAATGGCAGGGCGGTGCAACTCTACCTTGGGGCTTTGTTGGTGAGTTTGAGTCCTGGTCCATTCTTCCTTCCATTTGGGTATGTTGTCCGGTATGGTAGCGTTTTTACATCTTTATTTATGTTATTCATTCCTTTTATTGTTGGTTCTCTGAAGGAAGAATCCAGCACCTGAAAAAGAAAGATTAGGAGAACAGTGACCTTTGATCTTATAATGAAACCATATGCAGAAATATAAACCTCTAATCGTAATGTACACATAGATGGAAACCACTTAATTAATATGGGATTACAACCCTAGATGTGTGATATGGACATTGATTGACTCTTGTGTGATTATAATACCTAGCCGTACAACTGTATACAAATATTTTTATATGTTAACAAGTTACAGAAACTGCTTAATAAATGTCCTATATAATGTTATGAGTGCACTACCTCCTAATTTATGGTTTCATTGAATGTTTTGATTGTACATAGTATATATATTTCACTCCTTCTGGCTGGCAGGAGAGGTACCCAAAGAATGGCGGAAAGCCAACGTCATCCCTCTTCCAAAACCAGGCAAAGAGAGAACAAAGGCAGAGTCCTATCGACATCCACACTGTGCAAAACCTTGGAAACAATGGTTAACATACGACTACAGTTCTATCTGGAGAGCAACCGACTGATCGACGAAAATCAAAGCGGGTTCAGGAAAGGGCGTTCAACAACGGACCACTTGGTGAGACTACAGCAAATCATGTCGCAGGCACTCCTCTCTGGGAACCTGTTATGTGTCGTGTTCATAGATTTAACTAAGGCTTTCGATTTAGTCTGGCTAGACGGGCTGCTCTTCAAGTTAGGACGTATTGGTATAACGGGCATAATGTTTCGGTGGATCAAAAGCTTTCTGAGCGATAGAAGGATACAGGTGAATGTAGGCAGATTCCTGAGTGCCGAGCAAACATTAGAAAATGGCACGCCTCAGGGGTCGGTTATCAGTCCCACTCTCTTCAATATCATGATCAACGACATACCGAAATCTTCCTACCTCGACGCCAAAACTGAGTTAGCTAAATTTGCTGATGACAGTACCATATGGAGGAAAGGGAGGAACTTCTGTGAACTACAAAAGAACATGCAGAAGGCCTTAGACAAATTCATGGCATGGGCAAACGATTGGGGATTCAAAGTCTCGGAGAAGAAAACAGTTGGCATGCTTGTAAGCAGGGATAGGGGGATAAACAGAATGACTCTGTGTATGAACGGGAAAACCATCGAGTTTCAAGACCAAACCAAGTTCATTGGTGTAATCTTTGACCGAAGGCTGGCCTGGAAACCGCACATCGACGAGACTGTAGATAGATGCACCAAAATCCTAAACTTAATGAGGAAAATAACGGGCAGCACATGGGGTGCCAATAGAGTTACATTAATGATGGTGTATCGTGCTCTAATACGCTCTGTATTAGACTACGGCTCTCTGGCCTTCATGAACTGTGCGCCAAAACTCTTAAGTAAGCTTGACATCATCCAATACAAAGCTCTGTGTATTGCGACCGGCGTAGGGCTTGGGACTAGGAGAGAGGCATTACTACAGGAAGCCGGGGAGTTGCCCCTATCCCTAAGAAGAAAAGAACTAGCGACAAGGTATTGGGCCAAGATCTCGCAACTGGGCGAAAGATCCCCTACTTTTGTCAGTCTACAAAAGACAAGATATGTAAGAGATCCTAGAAAGAAAAGCTTCGGCCAGGGTATCAGGGAAACAATCAAGGAACTGCAACTGGGGGAGCTCGTGATAAATGAACACGACCCCCCAGCGATCGCCCCT